TTTCCCATCAAAGTTGCAAACGCCAAACTTCACCTGCACACAACTATACACATCGCTTGTGGAGTTAGTGAACTTTAGCAGTTGGATTTCAGTGAAATGCCAGCAGCGCTAGCACAAAGAACTTTATTGATTTGCGCTGCGCTCTCTTTTGATGGCGCTGGCAAATGAAACTTTGTGCAATTGTACCTATCTTCTTAATTATTGACTAAATTGCAACGTTGGCAACGAGTGCCGGCACTATAATTGGACCATTGAATTCAATCAGATTCATTGGAACCCAAGCTATTATATCGACACCAAAATACACAACAGAGTATTTAAACTGGCAATTAATTTGATTTTCCTATTTATCATTGAAACAGCCGAATGCGACTCGTGAATGGAATTTTTGCAAATTGCAAAATTGATTTTCACTCATTAACATTGCGATGTGTGGATGAAAACCCTGTTACGAAATTTATATCACGGCTGTAAATGACGATAAAATCCTTCAGGGTCTCACATTTATCTTCTCTCTCTCTCTCCTACTAAATTTATGCCATCAAGGAGTGTGTCTTCTTAATTAAAATCACATGACTAATATTTCACAACCCATGAAACATCTGAGACATTGACTTGAAATTAAAATTTAGCGGGTCATTGGAAGTCTTAGCATGAGAGCACAGAGACAAGTTGACACACATTTTCCCGCATCTCGAGCACAGCTCGTGTGGTTGAATGTGAAAACTTTGAAGGGTGAAAATATGAGCAGAGATTATAGTGGAATACATCAAAAATCCCACCCATTCGGAGTGCTTTAGTGCTCTCTCTCTGGGTGGAGTTTGTTGTGTGGTTACGGGAATGCGATATCATTTTGTGTTACCCACGGATTACAGAAAGAGCTCTTTCGTGCAAATTAGAAGCCCCTGGCACAACGAGTGCTCCCCTAACCCCTCGACCTGCTCTCAGATTTCCCGGGATGTCTTGCGGGCAAGTCAGGAGCACATCACAGACAGACCGCAGAGACCGGAGGGTGAGTCGGATGGATAAATAAGCACCTCATCGGGTGGGGAAGTGGCATAAAAAGAAAATACAGTCATGCAACATCATCATCCCGACAGACTGCCTTGATAGACATGGCAAGAGGGAGAGGAAATGTGACCAATTTCTCAGCATGAGGTGAATGGAAGGCGAGACAATGGGGTGTGAGAGACTTCAATTGAACCTTTCATCGCGCGCAGAAAAGCTCAGAAAGCTCTCGGTTCAGCCATCGAGGAAGGGCGATGAAAAAAGAACTGGCGAGAGACCCTCATAAAATCACAATGTGTCAAAATTGTTCTCACCCTCCCCGCAGAAATCCCGCTCGCTTGGCATTATCGCGCACTCCGGAAGCAACTAAGACGAATTGAGTGTGTTATGTGGAAAATTGGGGGTGGAAAGGGAGCGCGAAAAGGAGCTCACAAATGAAAAAAATCGTCGACGGAAATTCCCTCTGTCGACTGGCAAGTGAAGACTTCATATCCACAATATGGTTTGCAATTATATAGAAGTGGAGATGTTACATAGAAAATTCATTTCCCGTCGCGATGAAAATTACACGACGGAAATACACGCTTGCGTTCTCCCTCTCCATAACACAACACAGAAGATGTTACGCTCTGCTTTTTTTATTGTTGCTGTCTCGTGAGTTGGATGCTTTTTTTAGAGAGAAGACTAAATAGTTCGTTTTTTGCGCTCCAACACTTTGCCACAAGAGAGGCGAGAAAGTCCTCAGGCATTGAGATTCTTGTGGAAGTCACGTTAATTATATGTAGACAGCCAGTGTTTACCCAGTCAGAGTCAATATCTGGCAACTTTCACAGTGTTGATATTCATAGGAAAGACATTCTATGCGCGGTGTGAATCAAGTGACGACACGAGGAGGAATGCTATAATCAGAAGGCGAAGCGCCGAAGAGTGTTTTGTGAAAATGCCAACGAAATACAGCGGGAAAAGTCAAATGATAATTGCTCAAAATATTCACAGGCAGCGCATTTTCCTTTCCATTTCCTCACGAGCACACAACGTGTAACTTCTTATCTAAGGTCTTCTCCCCAAATACACATGCTAATAATCGACATTTAGAGCCAAGACGACAGAGCTCGCCGGGGGGCGAATACCTCTCGTGCAGTGTCACAAGCAGATTCTTCGCGTCACATGAGCGAGAGTGTTTGTGGAAATGTGAACAGCGCCGAGTGTTATTTTCCCAGAAAATTCACCCAATTAGATGTATATCATTTTCCATGGAAAACATCTGCTTGAGGTGCTTCTTGAGAGGAATTAATTGTCATCATCAGTGGGCGTGTTGTTTCTTTTTGATACTCAGAAATTGAGATGAATCTTCCATGAGGACGCGAATAGCATTCAATAACAATAACACTTCCCAAACACTCTTTATGGCTGATGATATATAAAATCGTTAGAGTGTGGCATTAAATTAACGACCATTAATTTCTCTTTCTCTCCCGACTATAATCTTCCCGTTTTGGGTCATAGAAGAATGATTTGTTCAATAAGCAATATTTGTTATGGCTGTAATTCAACAAATTGAGCGGCACTTGAAAGATGGCTTTTTATTTCGCCAAAAAGATCAGAAATATATATAATTCATAATTGGCAAAGGCTCTATACATACACACCCTTCGAAGTGCCCTCGAGAAAGCCCTTCTCATTGCGAAGAGTAGGAAATCATTAAGTAATCCCTTCAGCGTCTCAAGAGGATGAGCTAATATCTTAAATCCAAATCTAAGATATAATTCATAGGAAGGACGGAATTAAGGTCCACTAATACACACATCTCGAACGAAAATGATCCCTGTGTGAATATTTCAGTGAATTATTGTCCCCTCGATGTGTTCAGCCGTGAGGAAGTTGGTTGAAAGTGAAATTTTGGGGTTGATGACGAAGAAACCGCCCCACTGTCAGTGCAAAAGGACTTGTTATTCCTATCTGTTTATCTTTTAACTTTTAATTTCCTCACCAAAGGCACGAAAACCCACTTCCCTGGAAAGGCTATGATATTCTCTCTCTCTCTTCTATAATATATATACAATCAAGCTGAAGTGCGTTATGGTGAAAAGGGAGGAAATTCCATTTGATTCTTTGCTCTTTTTTTTCAATTAAGTGAAAATATATAAATTGAGATTTCCACTCCAAAGTGTATTTGCTGATGGTGTTTGCCTCTTGGTGTCTTTTTAATTATTTTTCAGTCCACTGACAAAAAAAAGTGAGGATCTTTTCACAGTGCGCGCTCTCCCCGGAAAAACAGGTCGATATGAAGTGAGAATTTTCAATTTGAGAAATATATATGATAAATTCATGTCTATGTCCACGAAAAGAGAAATATATTCCTGCCCATTCGTACAGTGAAATACACATTTTGTGTGTGAATTTTGGGTTGTGTTTCATTTATTGATTTTCACATCTATTTATATTGTGCGGAGAATCTAGGTAATATTCAGAGCCCTGTGCTCCAGTGTAAGAACAAAAATTGATTGAATTTCTCAATTGTACGGCACATTATTACAATGCTTATGTGAGGAACATGTTTACATATTTTATATACACCCGAACTTTCTTCTCCAGATCATGTGTTTTTGGGAAAACCTCCCTTGAGCCACACACACACACACCTTATGTACAATGTAACATTACATGGAGCTCTGCCTCGGCTGGAGCCCACAATTTGCCTCCCTCTTTGGCGCGCAGACCCCAGACAAAACATCCTGAACGCAAAAACTTCATATTGCGTATCTCGATGGTGGGAAAAGTGGGGGCGAAAGTACAGCAAAACTCCCAGTGAGTCGCAGCAAAAGAGAGAACAACGAAATGGATATATTTAAATAACAATGTGAAACCATGTGAGAATTCCCATTAGAAGGGTCAATTGACCGTGAAGAAGTGTCCATTTCCCACCCGCGCGCGCTCGTGACATTTCCAATACGGCTTCATCTCTGATAGGACAATTGGAACACTCAGGAAGAAACTTCTTCTGGCTATTTTGTCCGCTCAAAGCGCAAGTTCGTAGTGTCACTCTCGTGTTACTTTGTAATTCAATCCTCACCAGAGCCAGAATTTCAAATCACTGCATCCAACTAATCCATTAGGGGGAGAAAATTCAACTTTACTTCTTTCACATTACATGCAACACGGAGTTGAGGCTGCTCTGCTGCAACTGGCGACAAGATACAATGCAGATTTGCTCCTTATGGTTGTACTGAGAGATGTGTTTAGTGTGAGCTAAAGAGCGCAATCTAACACGTTTTATCGTTGGAGGAGCAATCAAAGTGTAACAGCGTGAAGACTAATGGGAACATTTAAATTCAGAGATGAACTCTTCACGATACATTAGCACAAGATGCGGAGGAATAATTTAAATTGAGAGATCCATTAGCAACTAGGCCAGAAAGGTTGAAAATTCGTGCACTGAATTATCAACTATATGAATTTAATGCGAAAATCCAGTACAATGTTGATCTAATCTAGCTCAAAAGCATCAGTTCAACTCACGAAAGTGCCACGGGAAGAGAGTGAAATAGAAGAGTGTCTTTCTTGCATATCCCATAAAGTCATGCTGTAAATTTTCACTATACTGAAAGCTTGAAAAAAAAAGCTGAAGACACACTCCAAACGATGTGGAGAAGCGCATGTCTTTGCACATCATATATTTTTGATGAGTCCCCGCTAAAATTGTGCATACATATTTTCCCTTTCCCAATAAATCGATAGATATATTGCACGCTTAACAACCAGCGAACGACTGTTAATCTAGCAAACTAAGTATCGCAGCAATAAAGAGTGCATATGGATTATTGATGGGGCTGAGGAATTGAGCTTTTTTCCACCCCATTTGCATTTAAATCGAACTTGGGTGCTTTTATACCCGCAATCATGTGTGGAATATTTTTTCTACCCTCTGTTTTTCTTCAATTTGGATGTGTAATTCAATTTTGTGCGAGGCCTGAAAAAATGTTTCAACTCACCAATTGATGGCTATATAGTTGGATGTTTTATTTTATCACTTTGGTCGATTTATTTTGATTAATGATTTGTGTCCATTTGCTGGATACACACACAGCGTTGGCGGACTTTTCTTGCGCTCCGATTCACTATCTCGGACAAAATATCTCACCGTGGCTATTTTAGTTCATAAATCTCACAATTAACTACAAAACCAACTCAAAGTTCGTTACTCATAATTCTCTTATCGCCTCCGCATTTTTTTTACACTCCCTTCTGGCGAAGAAAAAATTTGTGCACACAAATTTTTCTCGCACTGTTTCTCACATTTTCCGCTTGACTTTTCCACCTCCGCTCATTAGATAAATTTATGCGATAAAATGGGATTTGAGGAAAAATTTGTTGCCTCCTGATTTGTTTATGTTGCTGTCCTTTGACGCCTTCAGGGATGATTTTCATAAGCACATTTTCGACATGATATGTCACAATTGCATTGAACACAGCTCAACGTTTTTCTCTCCCTTTCTTTGCCTTACATATACACAAATATGTGAAAGTTTCTCGCACTGGATTTTATGTTGATTAAATAATTCAGTTTTTACACCATTCACACGGATGAGTATTTTTCGTTTAATTAGAGAAATTGACTCTCGAAAAAATCACCCCGTCCACCAGAGTCATTAATGCTACACACACAGACTTTTGGGGTCACAATTGGGGTATAAAACTTCTCTAGTCGCTTATTTAGTGCTCTTTTTTGCTCGCTGGGCGGGATTGAAAAGAGTGTACGGGAAAAACTTGTAAATATTGATCGTGACAACCTTTTCTATGTGATGTTCGCCTTTCCTGACTGGCGGAGGGAACAATTTACAAAAGCACTTTAAGAAAATTAATGATTTTTTCCCCACCACACACACACACAAAATACTATGTCGGAGTAATTACACGGATTTTTACACGCAATTCCAAATTTATCTTCCTCCTCTTTGTCGTATTAATATTCCTTTGCGGGATGAGGATAAGCCCTTTAACACTTTGTCTCAATAAACGCTGATATTATGTTTGTTACTGATGCAAAAGAGAATTAATTATTGTCTATAAATTTTTGGTCCACAATATTTCACAGGGGAGAAGAACAGACTCAGTGAGGGTTGCAATTGTGCTATTTTTATTTTATATAAATACTATTTGATAGATTATTATGACTTATTAAAGGGTGTGAAAAAGTCCTTTTCACACTGCTTTTCTAATTATAATTCTTGTGCCTAATTAAATTCCTCTTTGTACAACTTTTCTCGCAATTTTATTGACTCCACTAATTTAACACTCTCTTCTCCACGCACTTGTTCCACACAGAGTCCAATTATTCACATCTCTTTCTCATCGTTAAACTCCTTTTTATCGCTTCGTGAAATTACAATTTTTATTCAAAATTGCTTTTATCGCCTTGTGTGTGGTTTTCGCGTGCCGAATCGAGCCTGTTTTTTTTATAGTCTCACACTTTTTTTGGCTCAGATTGAAATTCTGTAATCTGCGGCTTAGAACTGAAGAGAAACTGATCGCTTGATAGTCACACTGATTATGGTTCTTTCTTTCCTATAATGTTGGCTGGATGCTTGCGAAGAAGTCCCCGTGCTGAAGCACAGAGCCAAACGACTGTGAATGTGGCGTAAGTGTTTGAAAAATGATATGGAGAAAAGAAAAACCAAGAGAGACACACTCAGAATTGTTAGGAGACTCGATATGAACTGTTTTCCTCGTTCCTCCGTGTTCAACGTCCTCGTGTGGACTGAAAGTGGGAATTGCATGTAGTTGTGGTGGAAAGTCTATTTGGAGCAGAGAATCTTCCACACTCAGAGAGTGAGCGACAGAGAGAGTGACTCTCTGTATACTTTTCTGATTATAATGGTATATTTTGAAAATACAACCGGTCCACATCGGCTCTCATTCGCCTTTCCCACAAAATTTTCCTCTTCCTTCGCCATCTCACTCTCACAGCCATTGGACTTTTCCTCAAACAGTCCACAATTTTCTCTCATCCCACGGCAAACCATCACAGTCGCGCACGTTCTTGTGTTGATTTTGACCGACAAGCGCCAGTGGAACTTCGTCTCAAATACACACGTTGACTCACTTGAGCATGATACCTACAATCTACTCGGCGCCTCCACTGGCGAAAGCTCTTCGGCGCACGTTTTCCACTCTCTCGCCCTCGCTCTCTCGCTCTCTCTCTCTCTCTCTTGGCAACAATGTAAAAAGTACACACGCTAATACACCCAGCCACCGGCCGCTCTTTCCACACAGCGTGAATTGAATGGACAAAATGTGCAAGGAAAGCAGAGCGCGCGCGAGAGCGCGAGGAAGAGGTAGAAAATTGAAGACATTATTTATATTACTGTATAGCAGGTTATAATCCACTTCGTTAGGCACCCTTCGAAAGAGCGAGAGGGCGCATAAAAAAAGATATAGAAAGGATAAAAGTGGCAGCGCGCAAGATTTATTTTACCTTTCACTCACTTTTTTTCACCTTCTGTCTATATACAAAGCGCACCGCCACAAATTCCTCACCGTGCAGAGCTTTTTCCATCGCTCACGCACTGCCAGAATTTTGAACAAAGGGTGGTGGTCGAAAGTTCATCAAGATAACAGTGGCAATGCGATGGAGAAATGGAGTTTTGGATTTTGGGGCCAGATAGAGACATTAAGTGAATGCGCCTTCGCTTAATTTCCATTAATCACTTCCGCTTTGTCAGACGCTTAGCAACAATCATTGAGCTCAATATATCTATGCTCACTGTGTATAGCAATAGTCTTTAATAAATTTAAATTTGCGCTCTGGATTGACTAATGGCTTCTAATCTGTGATCTGCAGATATCGCAACTCTCGCGAATCGCAAAAAGCTCCCGCTTTAGCGTTTTTCCGAAGGAGTGTGAAGAGTCTTTCTGGTGAAAGGGGTGCAAAAAACTGACGAATTTATTCCTCATAAATCACACAAGATTGTTTCATTTGGAAAAATCATTTTCACTCTAGCGAACGAGGCGTGAAAAACGGTTCACGTAGCCGGGAAATTGTGGAGGAAATTCTTCAGCAATCGTCAAATTTGGTAGATTCATTATTGTGTTTCTTTATCAGGGAATATTCCTGACCCATCTCAGGGAGGGGGGGGGGGATAACCTCATCGCGTGCGCTTGACACCCAACGAGCCACCCTTCAAGTGGGTGAACGCATATCAAAGACGTGCCACACAAAAGCTCCCGCTTGGCGAAGGGTGATTTTCTGTGTAATTGAAGCTCCGAATGGTGAAAATGGAAGTCGATCGGAAGGGTGAGTGGCCTACATTTGCGAGAGCACCTTTGACCTCTCCCGTCTGACACCCTCAAATGCAGACACATGTGTGGCAGCAACATGAAAGTAAAACCTCCACATAAACCGCTATCATGGGAGATTTTTGCTTCAATCTCTCACGTCTGCTTCAGTCATTGATTGAGAGATCTTGCTCTCGCCCTAAATCAACGCGACTTAATTGAACTCATCGTGTTTATGTTGCCAGAAAATTACTTTCTCTCTCTCTATTCACACCAAAAAGCGCCTTATTAAATAATATTGGCATTTTATATTCATTTTCATGGTGTTCATGCGTCTCTTCCTCAACACATCTTCACACATTCCATGCTTATGTGGGTATTTATATACTGCGAAATGGCAGTTTGCAATTGTTACATCGCCATCGTCTTCATGTTTTCATCATCATTGGCACCGTTGTCGTCATTCTTAATAATAAACCCCGAAGGAAGATTCTCAACAATACACACATTCACAAACACGCATTTCTCTGTTGTTTCTCACTCATTTGAGGCATTTGGGAAATCAATGAAAGTTACAAGCACGAAATTATACAGACTTTTCTCTCTCAGCATCTTCATTCAGTGAAATTTATGAAAATTCCCCAACACTTCACCCTCAATTGAACACCATAACATCATCAGAGACAGACAATAGTGAGCAACACTGTGTGTAGTCAATTAATATGAGATTACGGCGACTCGCAGATGATGTGTGGCGGAGAAGAACATAAACTCTCCGCCGCTGTCATCACTTGCTGTACATAACAATGGTTGATGTAATGAAAAAGCCCGGAGGAATGCCAAACAGTGCATTAATTATTCCTGGCTTTTCATATTTCGTCGTGGCTTCAGGCCAAATTTTGGTCCTCTATTTACATGTTTCACTGTCAAATTTCACCCATTAATCGCCATTAATACACACAATTCTTCCTCATATTCAATGCATATAAACACCCTCTGCAAATGCACCACATATGTTAAATATTTCACCACACTATTCAGGGTCATTTTTCATGCACACACCCACAAATTCAATATCCATTTGTGGTTCGCCATACGCTTTTTATGCCTCACATGAACTCTGCTTTCCGCCCTGCCAAAAAACGATGCAATTTATCGAAGCTCCGGGGCAAAAGCTCATCATGATAGCTTTCATTGTTTAATGGCAGAGAATGATCAGAAATAGATTTGTCGCGCACTCTGACAACCTACAAAGTGTCACTTAAGCAAAACCACTCCGTAATGGGCTTATTGTGTTGAGAATTCCATATTCTCTGTCTATTTCTAAGGACATCTTCACTGCGTGAAAGCTAAACCGCAGACCTTTATCACAGTGATGTGTAATAGTCTACGCAGAGACGCTTAAAATTTCCAATGTATATTCGTGTTGTTTTCCAATGAAATGAATTTCCTATCGTCAATATAAATTTGCTTTCTGTTATTTGTCGTGGATGAGTAAATTATCAGAATTCAATTGTGAAATTTAATATCGCATGTTTCATTAGGCAGCTCATAACGAGGGAAATTTGAGGAAAATTGTTGAATTTTCTATAAATAAACCAGGCGCCAGTCGCTTGATTGCCTTGAACGACAGCGAGAGAGATCAAGGCAAAGTCGTCCAAAATTCTCAATACACTCGATATCATATTTTACACACTACAGAAAAAGACAAATACAATTTTTGGAGATGCTTCACATCAGCAGCAATATCACAGTCGGACGCCCAGAGCTTGAGATTTGATAGAGTGGACATGATTCCTGATGGAGCATTTCCGCAAATGCAGAGATATACAGTGTCAAGTTCTCGTCAAGAATCATCCCTGAGCTTAAAAGCTCACCCCATCAGTCGCACACGAGATGCTCAGACAATTATTGCGTGCGTGTGGGTTGCGCTAAAAGGGTGGAAGGAGGCGATAGCAGAGGATAAAGTGAAATTGATACATTTTCATCGTGAACCGTTGCCATTGGCAAAGCGAGAGGGGATGAAGAGAAATTCAAGTCGAGGTGACGGATATCTGTCTGTAATTGACAAAGATGGAGGCACGCATTTCCCTCTTTCGGATATATTGTCATCTCATCCCTTGATTGACGCCCTTGAAGCTCTCCTTGAATATATTTAGTCAAAAATTCCCTTTTCGCCCATGACGCGCGCCTTAATTTGGCGCACAAGGAAGTCTTGTAAATGCAAAGACACGTCGTGGATTTTCCCAAGGGGAAGATAATGGACTGAATTTTGTACACCACTTTCTGACACACGTCCAAGTTTGTCTACAAATTTCTAACGCTGTTCGCACAGCAGAATAGCCATCTTTTTATCGACTTAAGCATAAGATTTCATGCGCTGCAATGCTAATTATTCACTACATCTGTCCCTAATGTTTGTCCCTAACAAAAATTTCCCCCTTGGATTTTCCGCCAAAAGAGTCACTTTTCTATTCGTCGCACAGTTTCTTCGCCAAGTGTTTATCTTCGGGGGGAGAAAAACAACAATGTCGCTTTTAGACAGAAGAGCCAAAATGCGGGATGCAAAGATATCTTCTCATGATTGATTTACAATGTCGATTATTCCATGTAAATTCCGCCTCAGCGGATATTTAAAGCACATCCTCAGCCACTGTGAAAATCACCCTATCGCCGATGGACCATCGATTTATTTATAGAAGTTTATAGAAGGGATTTTTATCTCAATTCATGAGCTTTCGCCGGGAATCAAAACTCGTGAAGTGCTGTTCGATTGGCGATTGAGAGAATTGGAAAAGGATTTCGCTGTGTGTGTGCGTGGGTCAGTAATCTTAGAGAGGTAGAAGAAGGTTCTTTTGCGAATAAATCACCATGAAAAATCATTCCTATCAAGCCGGATTATTCGTCAGGCGAAGCCCGGGAGAAATATAAAGAATATTACTTCTCAAGCGTTATATTGCTTCCACTCTCTAAAGTGACCTTCTTAACCGCTAACAATTTATAAAAGTAAATTGAAGAAAAGCGCCAAGGAATTAATGAAGCGGAAACTCAAAGGCGACAGCTAATTTGGACAGTGTGAATGAAAAATAGCTCATTTTAGCACGAAATTTCTCCTTTATTTCACCTACTTGCCTTCCTTGAGCATCTTCTGTGTCCTCAAATGTTTCTTCATGTGCACTTTGCAATATCCTGGGTGTTTGAAGGCTTTTTGTGCAGTAGTGACACTTAAAGGGACGCTCGTCTTTGTGAATCCTCTCGTGAACCGCGCGACTGGACTTGGTCCTAAAGCTCTTCTGGCAATCGGCGAAGTGACACGCGAAGGGCTTCTCGCCAGTGTGCACGCGATGATGATAAGTCAGCGCGTAGTTATGAAAGAACGCCTTGCCACAAATGGTGCATTTGTGGCGACGCAGTCCGTGAATTAACAGATGCTTACTCATTGTACAGTGATTCTTGAAGCGCTTCTCACAGTTGGCGTGCGTGCATGGAACCAAGGCGCCTGGCGAATCCTCCACACTTCGCCTAACCCTAACTTCAGGCTGAATCGTCAGGATCCCCGTCAACTAGTTGTCATCACCTGGGTGCTCCATAATCTCGATCTTCTCCTGGTAGTTCTGAAGCATCGCTTCCGGAGCGAAATCCGTCGTGAAGGAGTCAGAAGAATCTGTACAAAGTTTGACAAACAGGCTGTCAGTCTGCATGATTTTACTTGTGGTGGCTTCTGAACTTGCAGATAAACTCTTATCACTGAACAATAGACTGAAATCTACCAGTAATTGAGTTAAAGACTCCAAAAACTTCGGATCAGCATCCATCCTGATGCACGTTGCATTTTCGCAACTCTGCCACTGGCATGCCAGACGCAGCAAAATAATGCAAATGTTTATATCCTCAACGGTAAACTTACGTTCCACACGCGGGAAACACTTTCTCAAAGGGAAATCATGAATGAAAGGAAACAATTAAGCTCTAAAGGATTGCGAAAAGTCTCTCTGCAATGTGCGTGTAGGGGAATGTAGGGCATTAATTTTTAAAATCTTCGGTACTTTCGTTGAAAGGTTCTTATTTAGCAAAAAAATGGGAAATTGATTAAAAAAAAAACAACTTAAAGTTTCCTCCAGAGATATTTTATAGTGTGTTCTGAATGGTCTGGAGCTAAATTACATTTCACGAATGAAAGAAATTTGCATTAATGGCAGAAATAAAGCAGACACCAAGTTTTAAGCATGACTTTAAGTCATTTAGCGCACTAAACTGAATGTTTGAAAAGGAATGCGCGTTACCCAAAAAATTCGCTATATTTTCCACACATATTAAAAATGTTACAAATGTGTGAAACAAACAATAAACATCATTTGATAGTATTATAACACGCTATGAATGGAAGAATGTAGGAATTCTACTTAGGAAATAGCAGAGTTTCGTCACCTTTGAAGCTTTCATGCAGTCAAATTGGGGGTTAAACGAAAAATTCTTTCATTTCCCTATAAATAAACGAGAAAATATCAATCATTGATTTCTGTTTTACTATTCTAAACACCTAAAGAGAGCACTTTTATTCACGAAATCTCTGTGCTGCACGATAAAGTTCACAGAGATTTATTTTTCAATGCCCTAAAGCACATAAAAGGCATCAATTCCAAAAGTCTGCAGGGTAACTTTTTCGGAAAAAAACGTTATCAAAGGGAATTAAAACAATCACAATGTTTCACTGGTTTTCCTCTCAATTCTCTCTATTCTCCACTTTCAATGCTATTCAATGGACAAATTGACTATCGTGAAAAGTTGACTAAAGCACAAAAGCTCGATGCTTTTTCCCTCTTCAATCGCGCATGGAGAGTTTGAAATTGTGAAAAGCCACAATTCTGCGGTGCAGAATGGCGTAAATTGAATTGAATTCTTTAGCGTGTTGCTAAAGTGTTGCACCAGAGAATGTCATTAATAATAATTAATATTTTGCATTAATGGAATATCATCTCGCTAATTTTTTCAGCTAGAACTTTTACATTTGCTCCCACGAGTACTTTTCTATTCTCGGGCAATAAATTGAATTTGATTTCATCACAGAAAGGAGGCGACAAAGAGTATGAAACGAAGGAAATTGGATACATTCCTTGCCTCTCTTATACAATTTATTCTTTCACAATTGAGTGAAATTCTCTCTCTAGGCGATGACATTGTGTATATAAAAGAACTTGTATTTGATGTATAAACATAAATCAAATTATGATAAAATATTGCAAGATGTTCGTACTGCAATTTTGAAGCAATTATTGTGAACAAGGAAAAATATTGATTATTTAATAATTCACTGTTCAATTTGTAATGTGAAATTATTGTTGATGTTTTAATTATGTCGTTTTATTGATGAGATGAAAAGTTGCTTCAATTATTGAAGTACAAATCCTTCGTATTTCTTGCAAAATACACAGAAATCTTCATGTCGTACGTGAATATTATTCATTTGGTCTTCTCACGAGAAATTACAAAAGCAGGAGAGACAAAGTTTTAAGCTCAATCATTTGTAATTGGATATATATAATACAGGCGAAAGTTTGCTGAAGCACTCTCACAGTCAGAGCGAGTTGAGAAATTGTTGGCAGTCATTAAAATATACAAGACATACCTTGTATAATGCAGTGGGAAAAGTTTAAGCAGGAATCCTATTATATATACAGTATCATCTCTCTGCAAATCTCAAAACTATTCCGTCTGCCAGCTTTCGTACTTTTGCCTTATATGCTCCAAATGTGCGCTTTTCCCACGTGAAAGTCGCGAGAGAAGGACAGAGAGAGAGAGAAAGAGCTTGCAGAGGAAGGAATTCATCGCTCTGTTCGTGGTTGTTACTGCCATCTAAAAGCTAACATTTAAAAGCCTTGCCGGATTTGAGTTTTATCCTCCTTCCGCATGGAATGCCGCTCATTCTGCTGAGTTGGTGAAGAGAAAGCATATCGCGAGGGGAGAGTTTGTGGTGGAATTCGCGCGTGTGGTGTGAGAAAACGGCCCGAAACACGCGTAAAGTCAACGATACTAATTAATTGCTCAAAAGTACCTCCTAAATGTTGTTTGCATTCGCACTCAACATTTATTTCCTCAACAACACAACGAACATAATAATCATACGCATTTTCCGTACGTGTCGACAAACTGTATATTTAGTGCGTGATGGAAATTAATTAAATTTCAGCTCAACCGAATTCTTTTGCCCGCCATTCAAAAAGCCACCTTGTTTATGATCGTCAATGGAGGAAAAACACCTTAAAACAGCACATATGAAATTTTCGACAATCGTGAAAGAGAGAAAAAGAGAGAAAGAGAGCGAGAGAGAGAGAGAGTGGAAAAGCTGGATGATAAGAAAAATCAATAGAGCCATGGGACGCATGTGCACGATAAATCAGAAAGGAAAACCCACACACAATTTCTTTTACTCCTCAGTGGACATATGTTTCCATCAACTATTTTCACATTAATAAAAGTGACGAGTGAAAACAACAAGTTGTTGTGTGTATTTTTGATACTTTCCACCCATCAGCGCCACTCATTTGCCATTGAGCGACCCTCAGATTCACCCCGCAACACATCCTCAACACCATCCAGTTCGCTCCGCGTCAGCTGAAATCCGCCAAGGAGAGAGAAGTCAGCAGCAGCAGCAGAAAGTGTGTGTGATTGCCACCCAGATTTGCACAATCTTGTGGGGCAAAAAGAAGTGAAGTCCTTGTGAAAAATCTCCCCCCCAACGATATATAAGTTGAGGCGATTGTGAGCAGTGTGAAGTGAGACAATCGCCAGGGGGCTCGTAAAGACGACAAGTGTGGGGTGAAACGGTGCAAAGGGTGGATCATGAAGGGTTACGTCCCGCCCGACAAATTGGTGGTGCGAGATAGTCTTGATGATGAAATTAGTGACGATGTGGAGGACGATGTCTTCATACGTGACGGCAGATCGCACGCCATGTGCGAGGAGAGAGGCCTCAAGAGACCCCTTATGGCGCCCCGGCGCAAAAACGGGCCGCGCTACAGGAAATCACTGGCATTCATGAAGAAGAGACATCGCTTCTGGTCGTGCTGTGAGCCTTTTTGCTACGGATTAGCCGCCATCACCATTATCATAGGTAATACTCAGAGTGGGAAATTATGATATTAATATGCATTCATTTCCACCCTCAGAGTCTTTCCTTCCCACATCTAAAGCACACCAAGGCTAAAAGAGGAAAAATGGGGTCGTTCAGTCTTAAAACACACACACAGACACACTCTCTTTTGCATAGTTGAAGCGCAGCATCAAATACCACTCTTGGAGGGTTGGGAAATTCCACAAAACCCTCGACAAAATCCACCATAAATTCCCCAGATGATATTTCAATACACAAGTGTCTCGAGATTGCCTGCAAACTTGAGTCGTTTGAGTCACAAAATCCCTGGAAATCACACTCAAGACGAAAGAGAGAGAGAGAGAGAGAGAGAGAAAGTGAGCGAGAAAAGCTTCATGGAACACATAATTGAATTTATGCTGGATTTTGGTAAATCCACTGTCAGATATATCAAAATGCATCCCCGAAATTGCTTTAATAGAGGAATGATAGCAGAGATAATTAATAATATTGTTGCAATAGTTAATTGATTATAATTTTCAATGCGAATAAACCTAATCATGATAACACCGCGTGAATTTTGCCCAATCGATAAAACAATCTACTCATGCCATTATTGCTAAACATTCAATTTACATTTGGCCACGCTTTAATGCCACTTCCATCGTCACTTTGTGTAAACAATTCAACATGAAAACAAATAGAATTCGCAATAATCGAATTCCCAGCTCTACATATATTAATATTATGTGTGTTTATAACTCTAATCTGCCGCCCCTTCTGAATCATAACAAGCCCCACAGCTGAGAGATTATCCTTTAAGACTAATTGTTGGCGGACAGCTTTAATATTTCTAGGCGCGCTGCTGCTCACCCTCTTCCCGGCGCCACTGCAGAAGATCAAGGGTTGGCTCCACAAGAACCCCAGTCCCGTGGGCCAGCCGCCGCCCGCCGCCACGCCGGCAGACGTCCTCGAGCGCGTGCCCTGCTCGCAGCTCTCCGTCAATCTGGCCTGGAAGCGCGTCATATCACGTGTCACGAGCGAGAGTCCCGTGCGGAGTGCAGATGTAAATGCCGATGGTGAGACCATTTGCTGTGCAGCTGAACAGGAGAGACATTGCGATATGATGAATGATGTTGAATAGATTGCACGTTGTTAACAACATGTAATACAATAATAGAACTCAATAGTTAAAGCCTTAACATCATATACAAGACAAGTAAGCTAGATTTCCAACAGTTCAACTCCATATCAATTGAAGTTTATGATTGAACATTGTCTCATGCTTTCTCATAGGAATGCAGATGACATTTCTGCATATCTTCAAATTTTAAATCTATATTACAAAAGAACCTTCAGACATTTAAAATTTAATATTTTCATGAGATACAGCAAAATGATGAAGAAAATCACTCAAACGTGTCTGTATTTTTCAATTATTGCGCGCTTTGTACATTCCACGCAATAGATGAGTATCAATAACGTGTCATAAGGACACTCTTTAAGTGTCGTTGCGTGTTTAGTCTCTCGTCATAACTGTGTTTTTATGAGAATTTCGAGCAATCGTGTGATTGAAGTTACTTCTTCTACCTTCAGGCGTGCCTGACATCATCATCGGCTACTCCATCGAGGAGGATCCCTACGACGGCTTCACAGAGACCACGTCCAGGTGCTTCAATCCGCACACGGGCAAGACTGGTCCCTGCGAGGGCGGCGTGATGGCGCTCAACGGCACCAACGGTGAGATTCTCTGGCAGCACTGGACGGCCTTCAACGTCTTCTCGCTGAGTTGCCCCGTGGACTTGAATGGCGATCATCGGGAAGACTGCGTGGTGGCGGGCAAGGGTGGCCTGATGATTGCCATCAACGGCGACACGGGCAAGCTGATCTGGCGCCTGGCGGACAAAGTGCCCATGCCAGGATCGCAGTCCGCGGACTCCGCCGAGTGGAGCATCGACATCTACACCGTGAATGTGGTGCGCGATCTCGACGGCGACGACATCTCAGACGTCGTGGCCGTTCACGTGCAGGAGAACTCTGCGTTCCGCTTCGGGCACATTTGCGTGATCTCCGGCGCCAGCGGACGAATGCTGCGCAGCATTCCCACACCCTTCCGCGAGGAGGTCTTCGTGCCACTGCAGATCATCACGGATGCCGACGGCACGGAGTGGCTGCTCGTCATCACGGGCGCCCAGAGCACACCTGGCGGCATCTACGTCATCCGCCTCATCAGCCTCATGCAGTACAAGAGCGAGGTGAGCCCCAATTGGCAGAGGGATGATAAATTGCGACGTTATATACAGACAATATTTTCCCCGCAAAACATGATGTCCATATTAAATATGCAAAACTTTACGACGCCCCGAACAAACAAAGAGGCGTCTGCTGATGAGCTTTTGTGCCAAGAGAAAAGATTCTCTCTTTTCCCTCGAAGTAAAACTTTTATAGACCTCTAATATTTGCACAGATAACACACACATAGACACATAATCAATGGGAATTATTCAATAGCAATTAAAAGAGGATAAGCAATTACCATGAGATTTCCATAGTTAATTCCATCCACGAAGACCAGAGAATAAATAATTAATCTCTCTCTCTCTGTTGACAAAGACGGCCAGAACAATTAAATAGCAAAATTTGATTTAATTACTTCCATGTTTCCGCCATGGCTAATTTATCATCTCACCGACTGCACGTGAGCTCTTCCGCACAACTTTCTCTCTTCCTCCGCAGACCAATTAAGACCAAAGCATGGAGTTGGTCTCTGAAGGCCTGGCGGTCTGGGGATGGTTTTTCCTTCCCAAAATTCTCACACTCTTTTCTCTTCTCTCTCACTCTCACCACAAACTTTCCACTCGACGGTTTTCCACATTTCATAGGGAGTAAATTAATTCACCAGATGCTGAGTGTGTGTGTCCATTTCTCTGCTTTTGCAGAAGGACTTCACCACGCTGTACCGCAATGTGGCGTCGGGATTCATGGTTCCGGCCATTCTCACGGACATCACGGGTGACGGTGTGGAGGACATCGTCGTGACGTCCTTCAACTCCACCGTGCACGCCTTCGACGGCCACACATTCCGCCAGCTGTGGAACTACGCCTTTCCCACGTCCGAGACGATCCACTCCATCATTCCCGGCCACTTCGACCACGACAACGTCACGGACTTCATGGTGAAGGTGAACACAGGACCGGGCTTTCCCGTCTACTACTACTCCCAGACGATGATCCTGAGCGGACAGAACGGCACGACTCTCTTGGACGCCGCCATCACGGACGCCGGCGGCCCAAACAGCCCTCTTGGCGGCCTATCCATCTCGCAAACCTTCGGCGGTGACTTCTTCCTGCACTGGCAAACGCTCTGCCGCGGCGAATCCAGCGCCAGGGACGCTTACCAGTTCATCACGGACAGCGAAGTTGTGGAGCAATCGCGCGCTGACACTTGCCGGCTGCGCTACAACGCCGCCACAGTGGTCAAGCTCTACGCCATTGCGCGCAATATCGAACCGCCGGGCGCCACAATTCTCTCCTCAGACGATCTCAACCTCCAGCTCTCGGCCATCAATCACACACACACGAAATCACCCCACAAAGTCCTGCCGCCCTTCAAGCACCCCAAGATGTACATGCGGAAGTTCATGAGCAGAGACAAGAGCAGCACAGATTGGACGACGCCGCCGAACACCGTCGAGCAGAAGCGCGTGGACGAGGCGGAGAAGAAGCTGGGCGACTTCAGGGAGTGGTCACGCTTCCAGGCCAATCGCCAGGAGGAGATCAGCAATCGCGAGCCTTACATCTACTTGCCGTACAATCAGGAGGCGCGCCAGTATCCTGCCCAGCCGCCAACGCCGCCCAAGGAGCCCGTCATCATTCCGGCCGAGCCCAAGAACTCCGACGATTACGACATCTTCTACAACGACGAACTCCTCAAGCGCTATCCGCTGCGCAGTCAGCTGCCCACGAATCGCGATGTCCGCAGCAAGGATGAGGACATCATGGACCTGGAAAGTATTCTGAGCTCTGAGGAAGTCAACGACACGCTCGGTGATGAGGCGCAGACTGTGAAGAAGGTCCTGACGGACGCCGCGCTGAAGCCCATCCTGAAGGGTCATCCGGAAACGCTGTGGGATCTAGAGATGGAGAAGGAAGCCTCGGAGGCTATCAAGGAGGGTGGCACTTATGACTATCCCTATCGGCAGGTGAAGACGCGTCGAGAGACCACGAAAGACATCGAGCAGAACTTCATTCCTCACGTGGCGTCAACGGGAGTTTTGCTGCCGTCGCTGGACAAGAGCACGCCGACAACCATCGACTTCGCCTTCGTCCTCAATGTCAGGGAGTCAGAGACCTATCCGCCACTCTTCCTGCCCGAAGATCTGGCGTGCATCGAGGACAAAGTGAGAGTCTTTGGAGGTGAGTTTAGAATGATGTGAAAAGGAATCTGAGTGAATGATTTTTTTAATCTCCTCTTTCCCTTGCAGACATGGAGGACAAGGAGGTTCTGCTGCAGTGCCTCCAGGAGCGGATTCCCACCCTCGAGACCTTGACACCGCCGCGGCCAAAGTACGAGATGCAAATCGTCGTGGCGAGAATATCCATTTCTTGTGGCTGCGGAAAGCTCAGCAAAGGCGAAATTTGCTCCCAATTCAACACAATTGACAATCAACGATGGACAGAATTCATGGGAAACCTCGGCAATGGCCTTTACGTCTAAATCTCCTGACGCGTTGTCCACGAGCGGAAAATATCACAAGAGGAAAACAGAGATCAAACTTATTTCCTAAATATTCTGGAAAAGGTGCTTAAATCGTCTAAAATATCATTTCTCTCATCATTTGAAGAAAAAAAACAGCCTTGAAATTGTCATGCATTCCTTTGAATAATCATCATGCAGATCATGAGATTCTTGTGCCAAACGCCGCAGTGTCTCTAAGACATTTTTGATTGCTGCACATCTTTCTGTTTACCTTCCACGCATCAATTTCAGACACATTCAATCACACACACGCCAAAAATAAACCCGGAATTCTGTGGTGAAAATGACAAGAACAGCCATTTAACTGTGTGTGTGTGGAAAAGAATCATATGAAAATCATGTACAAAACTTCTGCAAGAGTGCGGAAGAACACAAGAGAGAGAAAATTCTTGCTAAATTATTCATCAAACATCATCAAGACCATTGAAAAGATAAAACAAGAATATCAGAAAAGGTGGAATGGCATCATTCTCTTCCTTTAGGCACGCCGGAACTCGCCAAGAGACATCCTCTTTCCCATCAAATGCCATTCCAAGAGAGAGTCTTTAAAGTAAATAAATAAATAGGCAACAATGGAGTGAAAAGGAAAAAAATAAACTCCACAGAGAGAAAATAGAGGCAAAAGAAATTATGAAGGAAGAAAAATCTAACTAAGAATAATGTAAATATACTGAATTATATAAAAAAGAAGAATTACAGTATATAATTCCATACAATACCTCAGCTTTCCTTTCATCCACACACTCTTCTCTTCACCCTTGAAACAACAACAGCAAATATACTCACATAAAAGCGCATTTGTTGAGGAATTCGAGGACAAAGTCACACTCAATTGTGTTTCTCTCTTCATTCTTTTTTTCTTTTTATCTTGGATTCAAGACGCGAGCGAGTCTTACTTCTTAACAATCTGAATAACATCCTCATCGTGCATCACGTGGCTGATTCCCACCCTCTGAGGCGAGTACTTCGTGGACGTTCCCCACACGAGAGCGTACTTGAATTGACTGGCCAGAGAACGATGGATCGCGTGACAGACGTGCTCAACTGTGACGCCCTGAAAAGACCAACAAAGATTTAGGATTGATAAAACATTATTTGTGCTCAAGACTCAGGAAAAAGTATGCAAAAGTCACAAAATTGTCCAATCCTTTGCAATTCACGTACTTAGAAAGGTAAATTGAGAGAAAAAGATCGATAAAAAGCAAGCAAATCTCTGTGATCACGATTTTTCTCTGCATAGAGAACTGAAATGCTTTAAAACTAAACTGAGAATTCATCTCAAAATCTAGATTAAGACTTTTAATGAATGATTTGTTGTCTCTTTGTGACTTTTTTCGCAGCAGTAACAAGTTTAGTAGTCTGTTTTTGCTTTTTGTTTCTTGCGGCAGAAACGAGTTTGTTTGCTCTGAATTTTATCGTTTTAAGTTTTTCAAAAGACGTGAATATTTTGCAACCAGAAAAAAACACAAGAATACTTGAGAGCCAAACAATAGTGTAAACTTGCTTTCTGGAAAAAGAATTGCTGAAAATGTCAAGAAAGCTCTCACCTTCCGCAGAATGAGGCCGTCATCGAAGTCCGGCGGTTGTCCGGGCTTCTTCGTGTACACGCGGATCAGCTGAAGCTGATCCCAGAGGAACTCCAGCAAGTAGTCCAGGTTGAGCTTCATGTTGCAGCTGACGACAACGCTGAAGGGCTGCCTGGCCAGTCTGTCCACCTCCTCCATGGAGATCTGGTCGATCTTGTTGTACACGTAGAGACAAGGCAAGTACACGCGATTGGCCGTCACCACGTCGATGAACTCGTCCTCCGTGGCGTCCTCGCGGAACAGCACCTCGGCGTTGAAGATCTTGAAGGAGTGCAGAATCGTCTGCACCATCTTCTCGTTGCACCGCGACATGGTGCAGGTGGAGTTGAAGCTCAGTCCGCCGCCCTTCTTCTGCTTGAAGTAAATGTTGGGGCGTCTCTTGTTCAGTCGAATGCCCACAGACTCCAGCTCGCGCTCCAGCAAGTCCCGATGGACGTTGGGCTTCGTGGCGTCCAGCATCATCAGCACCAAGTCCGCCGTGCGCGCCACCGCAATCACCTGCCGCCCGCGGCCCTTTCCCTGGGCGGCGCCCTCGATGATTCCCGGCAGATCCAGCAGCTGAATGTTGGCGCCGCGGTAGTCAATCACGCCGGGAATGCACGTGAGCGTGGTGAACTCGTAGCTGGCCGTCTCGCTCTGTGTGCTCGTCAGGGTGGACAAGAGGGTGGATTTGCCCACCGAAGGGAATCCAATGAGTGCCACTCGAGCATCTCCGGACTTCAGCACATCGAATCCCTCACCCTTCTCGCCCTTCTTCGTCGGCTCCAGCAACTGCGATCGATACTTGGCCAATTTCGCCTTCAGCAGACCCAGATGATACTCAGTGGCTGCGCCGCAGAAGCAAAGGAAGGAAAACAGTGAAATCCTCAACCTAACCACACATTGTCCTCTTCAACACTCACCTTTGTTTTTCTGCGTCCGCGCGATTTCCTTCTCAATCTCCGATATCTTCTCCAAGATCCCCATCCTGTCGCCCCTTCTGCACACCTCTTTATCACATTAAACGCTGAGTTTGGGAGATTTTCACGGTTTTTCACGCTTCAATGTTGTCACGAAGGAGCTCACGACTGTTGAATGGAGAATTGCATATGAGAAACCATGCAATTGCAATGTGTTCCATGAGGCAACCCTACCGGCTGTCAATTGCATTGGCAGGAGAAAGAACGTTTGCTGTTTACCTCTGCTTTTCCTGGATTTTCTCGGTGAAGAGTGCGTGAAAATGGCCCAGAAGAGAGCGTCAGACATGGCTGTTGCCATTCCGGATGCCAAGAAGGCAAGGAGCGACTTGGTGGCGTACACAAATCGTGATAAAGCGTTGATGCAGTCGGTAAGGTTATGTTTACAATTTTCCGGAGTGTTATTTATCATTTTGTGGGCTTTTCTAGGGCATCCCGCGGACATCCAGCCTATTCGCGCCTATAATGCAGTTGGATGGACACCAGGGAGACATTTTCACTTGTGAATTTCATCCTGAGGGGGAAATAATACTGTCCAGTGGCTTCGACAGGCAGATTTGTAAGACATCATGATTTGAGACTTTTGTGGCATTTTTGTGGGCTTCATGTGGGTTTTTCTTGTGTCTTCCAGTCATTTGGAAAGTGTACGACGAGTGCGAGAATATCGGGTTCATGACAGGACACACGGGATCCGTGATGGAGGCGCACTTCTCGCCAGACGGCAGCAACATCTTCACCTGCGCCACGGACAACACTGTGGCCATCTGGGATGTGCCCACTTGCCAGCGCGTGCGGAAGCTCAAGGGACATGGGACATTCGTGAACAGCGTTCAGGGTGCGAGGCGTGGACCGCAAATTCTGGTGTCCGGAAGTGATGACAACACTGTAAAGATGTGGGATTCGCGGAAGCGCTACGCCACGGCGACTCTGGAGGCTTCTTATCAAGTCACGGCGGTGACTTTCAACGACACCGCCGAGCAGATCATCAGCGGAGGAATTGACAATGACGTGAAAGTGTGGGACGTGCGAAAGAATGAAGTTCTGCATCGGCTAAAAGGTCACACAGACACGATCACGGGTGTGAGTTTGTCTCCGGACGGCGCGTATGTGCTCACGAACTCCATGGACAATACGCTGAGGGTGTGGGACATTCGTCCCTATGCACCTGCTGAGCGCTGCGTGAAGGTCTTCTCGGGGCATCAGCACAACTTTGAGAAGAATCTGCTGCGCTGCGCGTGGTCGAAGGACGGCAATCTGGTCAGTTGTGGCTCTGCGGATCGCTTCGTGTACATCTGGGACGCCACTTCGCGGCACATAAAGTACAAACTTCCCGGCCACAATGGCAGCGTGAATGACGTGGACTTCCATCCGGAAGAGCCCATAATTGTGTCTGGATCCAGCGACAAGACGCTCTACGTTGGCGAGATTGAGTGAATTTAATGCGCCACATTTGACTGCGTTTCCCACATGGATGACCAATAAATGTATGACATTATAATGCATAATTGAAGCGCATTGATTAAATTCTTTTCATATCCAATTAATAATTAAAACTTTAATTTCGAACCAATGAATTTTGACTCTGTTTGCTGAATCATTTGTGCTCTGTTTAATTATTCAAATTAAAAAAAGCACACAAACAGACTATTTGACAAGAATATCTAAATAAATGCGCGCATAAAGAGTGGAGAAATCATTTTTACACTCATAAAACTCTTTATCCTTCACAGAGGCGAAATAAAAGACACGTCAGTACAATTATCATTTTATTTTAAATTGTATAATTGTAGTATAATCTGCGCCTTTTCTGCATTCTCTTTTATCATGTAATTCTTTTGTTAGGATTTATTTCAGCGTCCCTCTATTTATTAATTCTACTGTATGTGTGTAATAAAATGTGGGATTAATTTACTCCTTTTGCGCCTTTCTTTTCAATCTTGTTTTTATTCTGATGAAATTACAAATCCACTTTTTTTACCATCCTTTTTTCACTTTTGTGCAAAATTCCGCACACGAATGAAAAAAAAATTATTTACTGAACTTAATGAAGTTTGCACTCTATTAGCATTTTTTCCATCGTGTGCGTATGAAAAAAGCAGGATAGAAAATAATGAGATTTTGGATTCATTGTATTTTTTGTAGTTAAAAAACGGCGGTTTTTTGCGCCATTGATTTTTTATCCCATACAAAATTCAGCAGATTTTCCAGCGCAAACATTAGTCAGAAGAATTTATCAAAAAAACGTGTTTCTCGTGGGCTGATTTTTCGTGTATCTGTTTTTTTTTGTATTCATTTTAGAGAAAAAGGGGTAAACTTTAAAAAATGTCAACAAGTTTCATATTTGAATTTTCAGAATTTTCATTATTAGACCATAATTATCGATTTTTTTTGTGACTTTTGGGTTCATTTTCATAAATATTCTTTTCAAAGTTAGGTTCCATTTTGTTCATTGTTCCATTTCTTGATGCCTCATGATTTTCATGTCTTTTAATCCATTCCTTCAAAAGAATTCTTCCCATTCTATCTTCACCCTCGAAATTAATTACATTCTAGACTTTATTTTATTTATAGTTAATATTTTAGTTTAATAATTAGATTATTTATTAATATAATATCTCTCATCATTTTTTTATTTACACTGTGATTCTCTCTTAATCTTTTTGTTGTTTTCTCATGGTTTTTCTCCATCATTTTTTTCTTCTTCTCCCTCTTTTTTCTCCTTTGCAATACGCAAAATATTACACATTTATTACAAAATATATTGTTATTAATTATATTAGAAAAATGGCAATTGGCAGGACTTTACATTTAAATTAACTTCTTTTGTATGCCTTTTTTCATCTCTCATTTAGCATTTCCTCTTCCCTTTCTTCCTCTTCTTCACCCATCGCAATTCCATTAAATATTTTTCTCACATAAATAATAATGAATCCCATTTTCTTAATTTGTTGGCGCTTTTTTTGCGTGTGTACATTTTTGCCCTCATTCTTTCTCCCTTTTAAACTTTCGGCGTGTCTTTCGTCTCACTTTTTCTTTCTGGGGGTAAAAATGGAAGTGAAGAAGACACAAGAGGAGAAAAAAAAACAGTCAAGATTCACACACAATTGTTATGCAAATAATCATCAAGTGGAATGAATTAGACCGCTTTTTTGACGAATAAAATGAGAAGACTTCGTTTTTTTTTTGGCTGCTGTGCTTAAATTGAGGCATGAATTGAAAGCTCTGTCTCTCTCATGGTTTTCCCACGAGAAGCTTTTCTTGCTGAGCATTTCGCGAAATATTTTTTTTAATTATTCATTTCCTACATTTCACTTCATTATTCCGTCGGTTTTTCTACTTTAAACCACCTCAATAAAATAATTTCCATATATTAATATATTTTCATGATAATATGTAAACCTAATAAATATATATTCAATGTTTTTCTTTTTCCTTATTATTTGTATAATTTTTTCTTGCTTAGATGCAATCGGAAGATTTCATGGTTTAGTTGTTCTTGCGATAAATCTTGTTTTTTTTCTTATTTTGGCCTCTCAAGCAACATTTTACATTTCTAATAATCTTATCATTTCATTAAAAACATTGATTAAAAGTTTCGCCTCTTCTCAAATAGGATTTTTTCTTTCTTTTACTCTCTTTTAATATATGCACATCTAAACAGCTAAAGTTTTATTTAAAAATTGTCTTACTATTCTAAGTGTCTTGTTGTTAATTAAATTACATGTTTAATTTTCTCCCTTTTCCCCGAAAAATTTGATTAACCTTTTTGTATGTTTATTTCACCACTACAAACTATGCATGAATGATTTTACTTTTGAATGGTGAGAGAAATAAGATGGGAAATAAATCGCTTTTACACTACATATTTACTTAACAACTCTTTAGTTTATCCTCTTATCAAACTGCACTACAATCAATTCTTCATGCAGATTTCATTGTTATTTACAGAAGAGCTTTTCATTCTCTACTAATTTAATGCATTTTTCTCACTTGTTTGATCATTTCTCTCTCTCTTTCTCACTTTAAACATCAATCAATAAATAATCACAGCAAATTGGCTACTAAAGAAATCCATTTTTTTTCCTCTTCAAATCATTTCATTTTTTAAATAGATTTTCTCTTGACAAATTTCTTTCACCATTCTTTGATTTATCTTCTGTTCTCTCATCGCTTTTCACCTTCTCGTAACTTTATTGAGGACTTTGTGTTGAATTAAAGTATTGGCAAAGACAGAATTCAACTTTTAATTTTCATATTTTTTTCTTCTTTTTCTCAGGTATAATAATGCAAAATGCGAGGGAAAAGTATAGAGTGAAAACACATAAATAAGCTGCCCTGGAGTGTTAATTAAAAACCAAATTAACACATACAAATAAGAGTGTATTTTTTTCTCGAATAAATTAAACAATAATCTCACAATTTTCGATGCTGTGCAGCAGCGAGAGAAAAGAGTCTTGGCAAAATTGCATTTACAGCTAAGCAAAGTGCTTAAGACTCTCCAAACTCAATTGTCTCTCACTCTGCGCACAACAACATCTTTTGCAGTCTTCCTCTGAGGAAGAGCGCCACAATATTATTATGATAGGAAACTTACGACCGAAGAGCAATAATGATAATAATTTATACAAAAAAAAAAGTGTGGGCGCTTGTGAAGTGTCGTGTTAAATCATACCTGTGGAAAATGTTCTCTTCTTCATCTTGTTTTTGGCACATCATCAGTTTTGATTGTTGCGTAGTCTTTTGCATTTCGTAGCGTCCTCATTTGGCTCGGTGGGAGTCTCACACTTTGGCTCCCATCATCTGTACAATTTATTCGAAGCTATTCGATCCTTTGAGCTTTCTCCCTTTTCCCCCTTCCTTTTGTGCCCTACACAAAGTCATTTGTCCCAGGCTTATTCAGCGGCTCCTGAGCCTGCAAAGAGAGAGAGAAAAGCAATGGGAAAAGCATGAGGAATAATGTATTTAAATTCAAGTCTCACGCAGCAGAAAAAGCTCCACCCGCACAATTTTCCGGTGAAGCAGAGCCAGAAAATCAAATGTTTCATTTGCCATATCTCCCTTATCATTGAATAAAGCTCACGCATGCAGAGTTCGCAGAAATCCACGTGAGATTTCTTAACGGTCATGTTCGTGTGTGTGTGTAAATTCACTTAAAGTGCGTGATTTCTTCAGTAAGAATTGTCAGAGAAACTTGAATGAAGAATGACAAATTAATTGAAATTTGTTCACTTAGAAATATCCAACATCAGAAATGCGATATATTCCAAATCAAAATTCGTGTTTTCTCTTGAATTTTCACATTGCAAAAAGATAGAATTTGCAATGTAAAAAGAAAAATCAATTTTCTTTTTCTCATCTGTGTAAATATTGAAAAATTCATTGTGTATAAATTAAATTTGAATAAACTCGCCCTTATTTGCTCTCTCTTGCTCTGCTTCTTTGCTGCGCAACCCCGAAAATATTTATTCTGCATTTTTCACCATGCACAACAACAACAACATCAAAACTTACCCTTCTCTTCATTTATTAAGCTCTCACATTCTGCCAAAATTCCCTCTACGCAATAAATTCTCTCTCATGTGTTTGTGAGCATTAAAAAATTGAGAGGTGTAGAAAAGTTTAGAGACTATTTTATCAGTATTTTTGCACACACTGTAAAAAAAAACTCTCTCTCAATTTTCCTCGAGAGTTTTTCCTATAGTTTCCACCAATTTGTTTTCCATCATAAAACACTCACACACCAAATTGAGAGATAGTGTGTAAATATATGCAATTCAGAATAGTAAACTTAATCCTTTTTTTTCCTCCCTTCCCTCAATTGTAACTGCATTGAAACAATTCTTCCCCTTCTCAATTGGTTTGAGCACAATTTATCGTTACACATTGTTGAGTGAAAATTTGGCACACAATTTCACATGGAAATTTATAACATTCTATCTGGAATAAAATCACCCGACGACCGATTGAAAATGGTCTTAATTAAAAATTTCACAGTATAAATTGAAATGGGTGAATAATTGAGAGTGTGAGATTCAAAATTGTACGACAAACAAGTCCCTAATTGGAGCTTAAAGCTCCCCATTTTTCCGCACATTTTCCTCTTTCTCTCTCTCACCAATTTTTGGCCCACAATCTACACTAATTCTCCACCTTTTCCACCGGGAATTTCAGGAATTTCGCCACTTTAAGTGTGTCTTTCCACTTCGTCACGGGCGGTTAATTAAAAATTGAAGCGCTGTGTGTGTTCGGGAGGCATTAGTGTGATAAAAGGGTGCGCACACACCTTCTCATCAAAATCCTGTGGAATCAATTGCAGAGCAATTAATTAGGGAATCAGATACCGAAAGTGCAGAGCAATTCAATTCATACATATATATATACAAATATATATTTGCCAAAATCGCATTCGGAGAGCTTTGCAATTTGCATTGAGCTGGGAATTTTGATTGGGCGCCTCATCAAATTTCATGGGGCTGCAAATTACTACAGCGTGCTTAATTGATGGCATCCCAGGTAAAAAAAAAGAGAGAGAGAGCTTTAATAAATTGTAGGGATTTTACAGTATGAAATTGGAAGCTTTCCTTGGCAGCATTTCAACGATTCTCCTCTTTTTTTGTTTGCTTCTTTTTAGCGGGGCCGAAGAGAAACAAATTTTCCAGTATGTAATTCTGCATAAGCGAAAAGCCATTTTCATTCTGCAACTTCACCATCGCAAAGGTGACATCGTCACACACTCTCATCACGTTATTTCTCATTAAACTTTACATGGGGTTTGTTAATAAAATTGCACATTAAGAATGTTAATTCGCTCCTGCTTTTCCCCCCCATATTTTCCCCCAAAATCTTCTTCAAACTCGCACTCTCGCGATGGAAAATAATACAACATTCGCCATTTAATCCTTGTGACAGGTTGAGGAGAAGTATATTTCACTCTTTCCAGAGTGCGCACATGAAATTGTTTTAAAAATTCACTCTTTTCACATTGCGCCCCGTCAAAAAAAAAAAAAACGAACGAACGTCTTCCGTTGTGAAATATTGCACGACCGCAAAAACATCATCAAAAGACGATAAGGAGGAATGGTCTTGTGAGTTTTCTCTCCTCATCTTATGCATGTTTTTCGGTGTCACTTGGTGGAAAATTTCTGTATCACTTCTCCATCCCTTCACAGAAATGAGTGAGAGAGAGAATGTTCATTGAAATTCCATTTTCATACATTATGATTCTCGTGAGCCAGAAAAAAGGAGATATTACATGTTATATTCTTTCCTACAGCATGGAAAAAATGCGATTACTCCCAAAAGTGAGAGAAGAGGATGTGGCAGAAAAAAATCTATCCATATTTTCTGAGTATGTCCTTCCTTTTGCCTCACACGCTCTCCCTCTCTCACTCTCTCGCTTTCGCTGTGCGAAGCTAAAGAACGGAGGCGAAAACGGATAAAAACCCACAAAACAACCCTCAGCGTCCCACACCCCATCTCCACTCCCGCCCCCTTATCGCGCAAATGATGGAACGATCGCCTCACACTGCTAATGCTTGTTGTTGCAAATTGTAATCATTTATCTTGTACTGACGGCACACTCTCGTGTCAGCGCTCTCACCTCTTCGCCGATGCGATGCCCGTGCATGCCCTGCTTCTCGATCTGGAACGTATCCTCGGTGGTCTTGCGATATACGGGATTATCGAAATTCATCGATGTCAGATTCCTAGCCTGGTAGTGGCGGTAGCAGCAGAACAAGCTCGTCTGTAAGCAACACAATAGACAGGAGACTTTCATTACTTCAAAGGCTTTTCCACCCAAACCTTCGGACGCTCTCACTCTCTGTCTGTTTCTCATTGTTTGAGCAGAAACAGAGACAGAGCAGACTGAGTCGCCCCTAAATAGCATGTCACACAGAGTGTCCCAGCAAGAGCATAAATGCTCAAGAACAAGCTCATTTTACGTGGGCGAGGAATTCACCAGAGCATCAACTCAATTATTTCAATTGACGTCATCTTTTACAGAGATGATTTCTTCTGAAAATTTCTGCTGGTGAATAACATCTTTATTACGTTATTTTAACGCTTGAAGAAGCAAGACTTCGCACAAATAATCTTAATTACTTTTCATCCCTCAAACTCTCCCTTTTTTCCCCAGTCGTGCCAAAGGTCAAAACAAAGAGAGTGAAAAAATCAACCACTCAAACTCAAGACTGTTTTCTTATTTTGCCTTTTTTTGCAGACTTCCATTGGATGCTTCTTAACATGCAAACTTTATAGACAACGAAGAGGGGAATTCTTTAAATTCCATGCAGAAATATGTATTTGCATTCAAGATTTATCGCCAATTTCACTAATCTCGTAAATTTAAAGGATTTTGTTATGATTTTTCCTCGCCTTATTGTTTAAAATGAGTGCAAAATTTACATAAATCATCTCATTGATAGTTTGATAAAGATTCTAGACACGATAGAAGATATCTTTGAGAAATGTTTTGATAATAAAGTTTAGCTTAGTAATGCGATTTTAAAGAATTAAATGCTAATATTTTCATAAACTTCTGTGGGTTAACCATGAATTGTTAAGCTATTAAAGCTGCATTCTTACCCAGTTATTAAATAATTCACAATGTCGCAACTTAAATATTAGCTGATGTTAACTTTTTCATCGACACGTGCAGAATTTTTTGTGACACTCTCATTACGAACGCTTCTGATTTATGTCAAAATTCAAACCTGACGAAGGACCTTTTAAACAGCCTAATTTCCACTTTGATTCCACTCTCAGTTTGTAAATTTGAATTTTAATCCATCAGTTAGATTTGCAAATCGTCAAAAATTCATCATCCATCGTGTCCCTGTTTATCTATTCATAGAATTTTCTACGAACGTGAAAACCCAATTTAAAGACACTTTCACAATCTTATTTGCCAATGTAAATTGGCGCGCAACTCTTTAAAGTCCCAAAAGGCTTTTCCTCCCAAATTTTCACGGGTCAAATATCACATGTTGCCAATATAATGGTTGGGATAAGAATTTCTTTTCCACTCTAACCATCATATCGCAATTATTGTTTTTTTTCATATCCTTCTATCTCTCTCTCTTTCTCCCTGTCTCTCCAGTCTTATTAATGCTTGAGGAATTAAGTCCCAAGTAGATTTTCATCAGCTTGAGAGATAATCCCGAGGAAAATTTCAATACACGCCCGTGAAATGGGAGGGATTTCAACTCCCTGTGCTCGTCAAATTATGAGGAGTCACAGTCGACAAGAAGAGGAAAAAGGAAGCCTTTCCGGAAATAAGTCATTATTTATCGAAAAGGAATGAACAATTCATGAGTTTTCATCAAAGATTCCACATTCTCTGGGGAGATTTATCTTCGCTGACGAACTTTTCGCATGGGTTTTTGAAATATCTGTCAATGCTTGTATGTCCTCTTCAAACTCTCCGTGTATCGTGTGGAAAAGAGGACGATGGAGTGAGAAGGTGAAGGACATGGGCAGAAAAGAGCATCAATCGAAAAACTCAATATATATCGAGGATGATGTTGGGAGTACAGATGAAAAAAAAACTATTAAAGGAACCCATTGAATCGTTGATAACTTTTGGCTTTGGGTGTTGAAAACGATGGGGATTGTTGTAAACAACTTTTCACCCCATACAGCAATTTTTTCCTCCCTTCGCTCTCTCTGACGCGAGGGCACGAAAAAAAGCTCACAGAGAGAGCTTTCCATGTGACCGTGTGTAAAAAGCCCACGAAAATTGAGTGTCTGGCTTTTGTCAGGATTGTAAACTCGCAACTGGATTGTGAATATAAAGTGTGTGTATGCGGAAAATAAATACTCACCATGATGATGAAGCACAGGAGAAGAGACACAACAATGATTATAATCTCAATAAATCCTGAGTTCGCCTCCTCGCGCTGCACAGAAGGTCCATTTGGTTGTGAACTGTTGCCATTGGGACGCATGTTAGCTGCAATGGAAATTTATTACGTACAACCAACACTTTTTATTGAGCACTAGAACAGAAAAAAAACATGGAGACACTTTTTGAAGTGGTGCAACAAAAACGCACCCCATTTTCCACTACACAAACAGAAAATACCTACAATTTCACCGAGGGAAAAATTCATTTATGGACTCTAATTTGTCATAAATTGGATTTTCTCCAGCATGTAAACACAGGGTGTGCATCAAATCTTGAACACACCGTGCAATTTCACTGTAATTCACATTTTTCAACACTCTGTATGTGTGTGTTTCAAGGGAGGGAAAATACAAATTTGAAAATGAGACAAACAATACTCAGGAAAACAAGAGAAAACCAGTTCAACTAAACTGAGTTACACAAAAAAAAAACACATTCAGAAATATAAATAAAATGTTAATATATAGCCAGAGAATATAAAAGTGGAGAACAAATATGAAATACAGGGAAAATGGGAAAATGAAAATCATCATGAGAAAATACAAGAGAGTGTTTTAATACAAATAAAATTTTCTCTCTTTCTCTCAATTTCATCCCCCGCCACCCAATAAAGTTACCCAGCGACAACATAATATAGTGAAGCACAGTAAAAATGGGTTGGAAAGTTAGTAAAATATATACTCTGTGCAGAAGTTAAAAAAGCAGCAACACACACACTCAACGAGGACACAATGTCTTTCTATAGGAAAACAAAACGAAAAAATACTAATTGAAAACCACAAGTTTCTTCTTTCACCGCGCGCGCTACACAACACCCTATTTATAGACTAATACAGAAGACAAATAAAGAAAGGTGAGGGCGGAAGTGTAAAAAAAATATACACACGCTGAAGAACAGGAAAAAAAAATACAATGAAACTTCCAGGGGAAACGGAACAGACAAAATAATTAGTTTTAAAGCACGGGAATTTTCACATGAAGGACACCTTCCGAGAACGGAGTGTAACAACAATGGAACGCCGGGAAAGCGTATCAAATGTATTGTCCTCCGAAACCACACGTTACGAGGAAAAAGCAACGTGATAAGCAACTGTGTTGCAAACTTATGGAGCTGTGCTTTTGCGGTTAACTCTGAAAGTGACAAATTTGATTCGAAGCTGAAGTGGAAATTCAATTTGTCTATGTTCAACGAATTCAATATTAATTAAAGCAAAAATTTAAATAGCTTTTAACAGCGTGACTGTCAAAAGTTTAATATGGCGGCTTCTGGCATGGCTTCAAAGACTGATGCTAGATTTTATGTCTACAAAAAGGGTGTTAAGATAGAAATTGGCTTAATAAATGATTAGCAATTAATCCAGAAAATGTCTGATCCAATTTCTTGACTGTAGCGCCACCAGCGGAAGTAGTACAAACTTCTGATGTTTAAAACCCTTTTAATGGGCTTTAAACCATCAATGTTGGACGATTGAGAGGAGATTTTATGTCCTTTTCTCTTCACTCAGATCTTCGATTTATCGACATTAATATTCCTGCAGAGCTACTGACGAAAGCTACGTTTTTAGTCAAGCCTTAAAGGAAACGTGAAGCTTTACGAAAGAATGAGTTTTCGCCTGAAATTCTAATTTAACACGATGAGGGTATGAAAAGTGGGACATTTCCATCTCATCGACGAGGAAAATCCATTGAGATTTGAGGTGAAAGCCAAAGCAAGACTGAAAAATGAGAGTTGGATAATAGTTTTGAGAAAACCAATGACCCGATGATCCTCGTGCAAGAGTGCATGCAAGAGATTCTCAAACTGTCTCACTGCTATTCAGTGGTGTGCCAGCGGCACTTTGACTAAATGGCGTGCATTCTTTGAGGTTTTTCTCCATTCTGTGCTCCTGAAGAGCTTCACCATGCAAAGTGGCTGTGGAAAAATTGGATAGTTGCCATAAATGCCAGAGAAATCTCTTTGATATCGTTGAAATAATTTTGCTCTTTATGCGAAACTCTGCAGCTTTGAATTTTCATCAACTATTCAGCATCTAATTTTTCCACAACACCTTTAAGCAATTATACGCGAAGCATGGTGTGGAAAAAGCTTGAGACACTTAATTTAGTGACTTAACTTTGTGGAGTTGTTAATGGAATTTCCTCGGAAAAACACCCCACAAATTCCACCACAATTTGCACGAGCAGCCACACGAATTTCGACTGTGAAATTCATTTAGCATCACATATATAGAACAACACTTGTGGCAGTGCAGGAAAGATTGAAAGCCACTGGCCATGCAATAAGCTGAGGAAATGGACTCTCAAATTGAGATGCAATTGTGTATCTACAGGAAGAATCATTCGCTCGTATTTTCGCACTTAACTGCCCACTTGCAATACAGCCCGTGAGAGAGTTTACAGACGGCGAATGGGTGGAAATAGTGTTGGAGATGCTTCAGTCAATAATGGGGCTCCATTGGCCCTGAGAAAATTATGAGGCCAGAAAGCTATCGAGAGTCTGAAAGTTTATCCAAACCTCCCCAATCACTCTCAACTCTCCGTGTGAGTGTGTCTGTGCGGAGGAGGAAAAGGGGGGAAAGAAGAGTGGCAAAAAAATCGGACAGTGGAGGTTGTTATTTTCCAACTCAAGTGAGGCCTTCGATCGATCTAAATAGTCAGCTCGAGGGTGCTTCATTCCAACCCCAGAGTCAGGCACACACGAGAGTGTTTCTAGGGTGGCGTCCTGAGAGAGACACAAACACTCTCAGGACTCCACTTGGAGAATCCTCCAGGATTTCCACTTGAAATTTCCCTGATAGATGCTTCTCACGTCTCGCACTCTTTTTTCCCTTCGCACACACAATCACACCCCCTTTAAATGTGAAACTGGGGAAAAGCATAAAGGGATGAATTTAGCCTTGCCACAGGTAGTTTACGGAATTACACTCACACAAAAATCATTCGTTTAGAGAGAGAGTGAGAGAAATATTATTTCGTCAGTGCGAGAAAGGCTTCCATGTGATGATGATTTCCCTTTGAACACGCTTCACTTTTCCTTGGTTGGGGGTTTTGTAAAATGAAATTTGTGGTGCTTTGAGTAAATTCAATTAAGAAGAATAATGAGGAAATTAATTAGGAATAATTTAAACTCTGCCAAAGCTCAATCTCACACTCAAACCACAAATCCACTCTCTCTCCCTCATCACTTACCATCATTGTAGAAGCCCAGAGAGTAATTTCCCACCCTCGCGCAAATGCGCATATAAAATCTCATGTAAAGCACATTCAGAATGCGGGTGAAGCCATTAAAAAAGCACATGAAAGTTCACCGTGCGAACAACATGAATATTTTCATAACTTATCAATTTGCGCAAAATTAAGAACAATGTGGAAATTTCCATTGGAAATCTCAGGTGAGTGTGCTTTCGCGCGCCTTCCATGCTCCAGCAAAATATGCAGAATTATGGCAGGGGTGGCGGAAAAAAGCGCGACATGGTGAGAAGGAAAGAGGAAAAAAAAAATGATGAGAGCTTGACTGAATGACTCTGTGTGGAAAAACATGAGGAGAAATTATTGTTATGTGATGTCTGTGAGGGTGTTGGAAGATGTAAAACTAGATATTGGATAATGTTGATGTGCTACGAATGTGGTTGATGGGCGGGAAAATGCTTTAGCGAGATTCTCACCCTCGCGTAGGCGAAATTTGTGTGGACCGCAAGTCAAAGGAGAGGCAGCAAAAAAAAAACGGCGGAAAAAATTTGCATATTATAGCGCTATTATTTTGCCCTCTTCATGTGTGTGTGTGTCTACACAATATTCAAATAACTTTGCTCACACACACACACCCCAACCGCCAAAGCAGCGCTTCCCCACAAAATCTCTCTATATATGTGGTGTATGATAAATTCTCTCCCGGAAAATTGTGGCTTGTGTGTTGCTTGCCTAATAATTATTCCCACAATGTTATTCACCTCCCTTTGCCGCCACACACGCTCCTCGTCAAATCAACCCCGCAAACGCTTGGCCATCGCCAGTGTTGTTTATGGCGGAAACACCAAATAGCTATAGAAGTTCGGTCTGGGATAAATTGAAGGATAATGTGTGAGAGCCTGTAAAATCGCTAAGAGACGTCACGTACAATCAATTTTGATTAATTAGTCTTCAAAACCGACAAATTTGTGGTCGACCAACACTCACACACAGAGAGAAATGCTCCACATCACACCTTCAGTGGCATCCACAATGCAACTCACACCCCAGAACAGCAATAAATTGAAACACTATCCATTCTAGTGTGCTATTACATTGTAGATATAGAGTAATATTTCAATTTTGCCCAACTTTGCCAACACAATTTGAAGATGTGAGGCATTATTTTAGAGTGAAATGCTGTATACATGATATTCCTTAGACATCACAGACAATTAATTCGAGGGGTGTTCAATTGCATCACAGTAAATTTGAGGAGTAAGAAAAGAAGAACAAGAAGAGACCAATCACCTCAAAAGTAGCTATAATTCAAAGCTACTGACCTTTATTGATCACAAGTCTTCCTCTGCTTTTCCAGCGTTCTCTCAAATTCATGAGGAAATGAACATCAAAAATGTACTTAAAACACTTTATTTATGTCTTTACAAACTCCTCAAACTTAATGCAAGCTGAAAAGTCACTTACTTCCGTCCTCTGTTGAAACTATACTTCTCAACTACTTATCATAAATTATGAAATTCAAATTGCAGTACAGCTTGTAAGAAATTTTATGATTATGGTTCTTCAAAGTGAAATGAATACTTAAATTGGAAACCAATTTCTCTCAATGGAAACTCAAAATAACCATCCATTATAAATACTCTGAATTGGAACTTTATATTCAAATATGAAACTTTTAGTTCATGTTTTCTTGGAAAATGAGTAAAGCTGGAGAAATCTACAAGAATCCAATGAATATTTTGTGTGACTAAAATGTCATTTGCTTCATGAGCAAGTGTTGTTTATGTATTTATGGAGCTTTTCAAATCTTTAGAAGATTAGAATTCGTGATATTTTGGCAAAATTTTATGTTATTATGCAATATTTAAAATTGTCATATGACAAATCCTTTTGATATCGTAAGACATACGTTGTACGTGTCATACAAATTGTACTTAGTTGGGGGAAAAGATGCGAAAAGTATCTAATCTTTGACTTTCTGCTGTACATTTTGTATTTCTTTGCTTATCGAAATATAAGCGAGCTATACGACCTTTGTTCATGAAACAAGGACGAGAAACAGTGGCAAGTTGAACGCCCCTCGGTGGAATGAAGACATTACACACGGAGTGACTAAGATGGAAGAGGTTGCATGTGAATTGAGACGACCACAGACACTGAGTATCCACCGCCCCCAAAATGCAATTACATCCACTTTAATTGCACATTTCAGTGCAAACTACCTCCTTCTGTCGCCCTGGCGTGCCTGCTGCACAGCCAGCGAATGTACTTGTGCGACACATACAGCCCCGGCACCATCTCACCCCCAAGCGTGGCCGCCCGGAACAGGCGAAAGGGGAAGGAGTGCTCATCCTGCCACCACTTCGCCGCCGTGCGATTGCCGTGCTGGCGATTGTGCGTGAAATGCTCAGATGATGAGTAGGACGTCTCGACGCCCTCGGACGCCACTGATGATGATGATGATGTTTCTTGCGATGATGACGTTGCGGTTAATGCGGTATGAGTGTTTAAATGGGAACAAATGGCAAGAATGTACACATTCTTAGTTAATCGCCGCTTAACTACAAGTGAAGAAGAACAAGATGTGAGCAAAAGCTCGCGCTGAATTATTTGCCAAGGCACATTGCGCGAAGTCTTTGCAAATTCAATTTTATTCACTCTTATATGTACTTTCTTATCGCACGGTTTGAAAGTTTCACCCTCCTTTTCCACCCCCTCCACCTCCCCCCGCGCAAATCCTCGGTCATGCCTCGCGGACAAATTGGAGGAAAGCTAATAAGGAGTGCCTTCGAAAGTTGTGAATCGCGCTCACCGCATACGAAGAGGGAAGAAATTGTGAGAATGCAAGATATCCACTTTTCCTCAGAGTGTCATTTTGCTATAGATATATGTCTTCTCAGGCAAGATGGGAGAAAATGTGTAATTGGATCAGGAAAAAAATGCCTCTCGCATTCCATGCACTCACATTCACGCTCAAGCGCCAGAATTCCAAGGCAAATCTTACATGTTTTTCCCAAATGTGAGGCGACATGGTGAAAAAGTTCTTTTTTTTCTTGCAAAAGAGAGACGCGCCACCAGCAGCAAGAGTTTACACAAGCAATGAACCAAAAACTTAACTAGCAAGAATATTAGTTTGTTCACTCCTCTATAAGATCACACAAAATTGTACGTGTGCTGCGTGTTATATGAAGATTATATGCTTTCTACTTATGGGGCAAAAAGTTCAGTCTCTTTTGCCTCAAACACACACACGAAACGCTGTATGAATAACTTTCCGTCACAATTCTCAGAGTCTCTCCCCATATTCAAAACCACACATCCAACTTACGTTCGTAATACTTGTGATATTACAAAATGAGTTTGCAATTCCGACTGCACTTCAGAATTATATCAAAACTCCCAGCATTTCATCAATAATACAATAAGCTTTCCCCCCAACTAACAATGGTCGCTTTCACAAACCACACATTTGTATATTTAAATTCACATAATTTGTGCTATTCTTCCCACAATGCAAACTGATTGAATTCGACGATCCTTTATATTAAATGAAATCAATAGAATAGATTGCAATGATGTAAATAATTTAAATAGACTTTAGGCTTGTGTTATATTTGCATATTAATACCCTCTTTTTCATGTGCAAACAATTATCGAGGCATTCAAACCATCATCAACAACATTGAATATGTTTCGCAAATAATAAATAATGAGTATGATCGGAAATAATGCCGGAAGAAATTTCATTACTCAAAATCAGCATGAAATCAGCAATTGCAATTTATAAATGGTAAATGATGCTAATGCTGATGTGATGAACAGACGCCATTTTTATCGTCCTTTATGCAATTTGTTTACGCGTGAACTTAGTCATAATTCTGTCAATTTCTAGAGTTGCCATATGAAAAAAATGCAGGGAGAAAATGGTTTTCCTCACTTTTACTTCAGATAAGCAACAAAAACGTTATTTCAAGCCATATTTTCAGTATCAAGACGTGACAAATTTCTTGATTAAACTGTAAAACTGAAGCAAGGATAAATCACAGAGGAAAAGTGCATTATAAATGTTAAATGTTGCCTCGAAGTGGTGCAATTTTCAGCAAATTTCTCTGTTGAGAGCAAATAATTTGAATTTTGAGCTTTATTAAATTTAATTATTAAATATCGACTAAATAATAAAACTTTTTTCACTCACTCAAATTCAACTTTCAACTTCACTGGCATATAAATTTATTGATTGAAAGAAATGAACAAGAAGAACTTATGCAAAGTCCTGTAAAGAAACTTCCACCCATTTTTATGTCCACCCACAAATTATTAATCATGTCTTCCGCGCGAAAAGTCCCACAATTCCTCCCCCATTGACTATTTACCTTGTGCAATTTACTTTCGCGTCTCCTTAAATGCTCCTTACAATTATAGGGGCGCGGAACAAGCGCCGCTCTCTGGCTGTGATTTATACGGGAGTACGAAACTTTCTTCTCGAATTTTTCCACCCAGGAAAACTCCCCAAAGTAAGTGTGTGTGTGTGTGTTCGTGAGAGACTCTGAGGTGCGATGAAAAGATGGGTGGATGGAGCAAGAGAGAGTCAAGCGTGGGTGATTTTTTTTTTTCTAATTGGATGTCACAAAGCCACTCCCATTACTACTGATCTCTGAACAAACTGCATCTTCTGGATCTTCTAGGGCTGTTTTTTTTTGTCTTGTCAATACTCACACGACTCACTCGCTCCATCGGCCGCTGTGGAAGAGGTTTCGCTCTTCGTTTGCACAACCGTCTCTTCTGGATTGTCATTAATTCTAGCGGGCTGATCAACACCCTTACTGCTCTGTGATTTATCATCGCCCACGGTGTTATTTGATGTGGGAGTTACTGACAATGAGTCCACTGTTGACGATGATGGTGGCGGTTTAATTGTCGTCGTCGGAATCACTACATTTTTATCCATCATGCCCACGGATTTTTTTTTTGTTTCGTCACCATCGCATTTTGCAAATGTATTCGTGTATGCATTTGTGTGTGTATGCGTTTTTCCAGTCATTCACCAGCATTACCAATATATAAGTATTATTTGGTGTGATATGTGAAATAATACCAAAAAAAAATATATTTTGCATGATGCACGACAGAAGCGCAAATTTTTGATTCCCGTAGGCCAGGATATTGTTTTTTGCGAGCAACACAAATATTTTCAATGTTTTTTTTTTTCGTTTGGTGGCATACATTCGGTCGGTGGTTGAGAGAGTAACCCAAAGATGGATAAAAAAATCACAGAGGGAAAAGAGAAAATAAAAAAAATAATATTAACTCAAATGTCGACTAGGAAATTAATTAATAAACATATTAATATTGACTCTGGGCGGTGTTTTTTTTTGCAGTGGGGCGAATATGAATTTACCACATATCGCAACCACGGGCAAATATTTTTGTACAAGTGAGCTTATTAAATCGATGCCGAAAAAGGGGCGCACAATTGGACTCACCGTCTTCCACGCACATCAACCCGTCGTCCATGAGCTTGAGGCCGGTGGGACAGGCGCAGGAGATGCGGGAGCTGCGATCGTTGAGTTTGGGCGCCGGCAGGCAGAGGTGCGAGCAATGGCCGTTAACTGCCTGGCAGTAATTGACGCCGTCGGGCTGCCGGTACGGATGGTACACGTGGATGGTCATGGGATGCTGCAACTGTTAATGCCACCCTCATTAGCAAATTGCGTGTCAGAGCCAATAAATTATCGTTGCCCTCTCACCATATGGAGCGCCGTAATGGGCTCAACGTCTTGCCCCGTGAATTTATTGGCCTTGAAGACGGCCTCCTTGTCCCAGTCCGTCCAGTACACATGGTCCTCAAAGGTCGTTATGGAGAATGGATGGCGCAACGAGTCGGCAGAGTACAGCACCACATTCCGCCCGCTGCCGTCATAGTTGCACGATGAGATCTCATTGAGCTTCGCATCCACCCAGTAAACACGCTTCCGCACCAAGTCCAGCGTTATGCCGTTCGGCCACTTCACGTCGTACGTCACAATGGCCATTCGGTGCGTGCCATCCATGCCGGCGCGCTCAATTCTCGGCGATGAGCCCCAGTCCGTCCAGTACATCCACCTAATTGAGAGGCCAGAAATGTTAATAGACATCCTTTCGCACAGCGGACGCCAAATCACACCCTCCGAGGGGCCAACAATTCATCAAGGGTCAATTAAACTCCCCTACACTGAACTGCAGATGAAGGCTAACACGTTTGGGATATGTAAGCATTACGTGTTCATAACGTTTCTTCTAGTATTCAAAGAAAAATCATTCTGAAATGTGTCTAATATTCACTTGAAAGAGAAAAACAGGAAAATCTTTGAACAATCATTTACTTTGGATTGAAAAATAGTTTTGTAAGGCTTATGAAAGCGCCTCAACACCCATCAATTACCTTTCAGGAATGCTGTACGCAAGCAATTCAATATTGAATACCTCCGAGAAGGGAACTAAAATGATAGTCGCGTATCATAGTCGAATTGTACAAATCAAATTGGAATTCTCATCTCAAATTCTATGCATTTTGCCGGCATAAATATTTCAGGAGCATTGATTTCATCAGTTCAGTGAGAAATTCCAATAACATGACGTCAAATGCTCCAGATCGCAGAATTATTCATCTCAGCATGAATTTACAAGTGGAATTGAAGGAGAGCGGATTCTTTCTCTCGACTTCGCGTGAGTGCGCGCAACCCCTCGCATTTCCTCTGCAATTTTCCCCCCACAGCGTCGAATTGAACCACGAGAGGAAGAGAGAGTTACACAGGCCAGTCAACACATTCCAGATGCCACAGAGTGACTCTCTTCCCCCCTTTTTTTTCGCGCTGGCCTGGCCCATAGAAAAGCCCCATTGAGGCGTGTATGGTCACATTATTATTTACCCATTGAGTGGATCCAGAGCGATGGAGCGCGGAATTTCCATGTCATCCTTAATCAACACTTTTCCCATGTTTCCATCAAAATTGGTCAACTCAATTGTACACTTGTGGGTGTCGGTGAAGTAGATGTGATTGTAAATCCAGTCCACAGCCAATCCATCCGACGTCACGATCTGATCACGCACAACAACAGTCTTGTCACTTCCCTCATCAATCGGCGCCCTGCAAAATAGGAAAGAGAGGAAAAGCATGTGAGAAGAAGTCCAGCGTGTTGTGGTTCATTTTGGCTCTCCAAGAAGTGCTATTTTGTGTGTACATGGAATAAATATCAATGGGAAATTGACCATTGTTAGTGTCCTTCAATTTCTCAAAATGTTATTTGCAGAATCTCTCTTCTCCTTCCCCAATCCGGAAAGGAAGGGACGCGCTTTGAAATAACTCAGCGTCATTCCCTAAATCTCGCCCATTCATCGAGCGCACACACAAATTCACTCAGAATGTTTTGTGTATTTCAACAACCGCCAACAAAAGGCGGGGGTCGAAAACTTACTCAATTTAGGCAAATTTTCACTGGGAATAGGAAATGAATAGGGGGCCATCGAGAAACTTTCTCAATGAATGGACACTTTTCTCTCTCCGCGTGATTACAATGGAAAACGACCAAAGCACGCAAAAGTGTGCGGAGAAGTAACACGCTTATTGACGAGATTTTCCACTCGTTTTCGGTCAGAAATTTCCTCAAGCATCCCCCAAATTATATTCCACCAAGCTCTCCCCCCATCGCCATTCCCCTCCTCAAAAAAAAGAATAACAGTGCTTAAAGTGTGTGGCATTTTGCCATGAATTAATTCACTATATTCTCGTCTTTTGGTCATCTTCTCGCATCAAATGAATTCAACTCGTGTTTCATCGTTGTGTCGTATCGAGAAAGTGGGTAAAAACTTTCGTCTCTGGCCTCAGGGGATTGGCGTATCTTTTTGTGCAAGAGATAAAAACTAATAAATGTTCATTGTATTGTTAAGAAATCCTCAAAGTTCTTGGAGATTTTAACTGCATAATTTTTGTTATTAATCACACTTCATAATCTCCATAAGGATTATGATTAGTTTAACAACATATAAAGGTGTTAATTTTAGTGAATTTTGTTAGTGAAGATTCCAAGAGAAACTGCACCCAAATAGAGGGCAAGATAGCAGCAAATTTGTAACTAAATGACACTCACTTGTAGATCTTCTGCTCTGCCACGTCGCTCCAGAAAATCATGCCGGTGCGGAAGACATAATCGAGAGCCGTAGCGGATTTGGTGTCATTGACAATGGACGTCATCTCTCGATGATCCAGGGAAATCTTGCGGATATCCTTTCTGCGTGCAAAAAGGAGCGAAGCGTGTCCTTCCGTCGCCTTACATCTCGTGTGGTCGCGCGGATCCCGCATATATCCATCCACACACTCGCACTTGAAGCCACCGCGCTCGTTGTAGCAATTCTGCGAGCACGCACCGAAAGTCTCACACTCATTTATATCCTCGCAACTCGTGTTGTCCACTAATCGATATCTGTTTGGGGGGAAAAAGAGCCAAATGAATAATTTATATCCCGTTTTTCCCACCCACTCCATCGCCAGCAACGGACACTTTTGCCATTGATGGGGTTGGAAAGGCCTCGAGGCGGGGTGAGAGAATTCTCCGGGAACTTTTTCCTCTCGTCCGGAAGTTTTCTTTCTCACAAATGATATAGAATTACGGGCGAGCGAAGCGATGCGGAGGATTTCGGTAACATTTTATACCTTTATGATACGCAATACACCAACTTCTCAAAATAGAAATGATAATTAAATGGAGTTGGGATAAAAAAAAATAACATCACAAGAGAGAGAGAGAGAGAGAGAGAGAGAGAAAGAGCAAAAGCTCACAAGGCAAAGGAGTGGAAATTTCCGCTTTCTCTCTCGCCAAAGCTCAGCCAAAAAGCATCCACTTTAAGTCCGCACCAGAGAATTTAAGGTGATACTTTCAAATTAGGCTGCTCCCTTTGATATTGCTCATGATTCCGGCGAAGCGATAGAGTTTATCGGTGTTGCAGTAAAATTATGTCTCACTTTCTCCCTTTGCCCTTTTCGGTTATTACACTGGGAGTCCTTAATAGAAATATCCCCACAGAGAAAATCAGAGTGAAGAACAAAGAGCAGAGCAGGAAAATTGAGGTAACAATATCGTGGTGGCGGAGGTTTGAGGTAATAAAGTGAGCGGCGAAATTGAGGATGCGAGGCAATAAAACAGGACGAAAAATTAAGAAAACCACCCCAAGATTGCGAAGGCCATTGTGCTGTGAAAGCTCATAAACAGACACACGCGCGCGCTCATCAAAAATCTCTGCGGTGAAATAATGCAAATCCTATTAAATATATATGTATACTTCTTAAGATAAATACATTGGAATGTGTCTCATCTGTGCTGGAGTAAAAGAAAAAAAGGACAGAAAGCCTCAACTTGGCTCCTCAATGTCTCTATAACTCTTCTGCCCACTTAAAAGCCCCTCTTTTCCAATGCCTCGGCATGTTCGGCATCGCCAATGAGGTTTTTGGGGGAAGGGGTGGGAAAAAAAGGGGGAGAATTCTCAAGTTTTTCTCCGCATCACAGGGAGAAATGGTCTTGTTATATTGGCAGAAGCCGATGATGCGCCTTACCCTTTTCGACATTCACAATAGTATCCAGCTGGTGTATCCACACACAGTTGTGAGCAACCGCCGTTATTGATTAGACACTCATTCTTGCCACATTTATCAGTGGGCTCATCCTGGAAGTCGGGACAATCGGGCTTTTTGTCACACACTCTCGACAGTGGAATACATATGCCGCCGCCGCAGTCGAACTCCTTCTTCGGGTCGCACTTCTTCACGATGGGCGTCGTTGATGCTGGAATAATATTCATCCCCATGGAGAAAAGGATAGGTCAATATAGGTATATAGATAAAGTGCTGCTGAATAGAAAATATATATACATTGACATATAGAAAACTTTGCACAAGGAGGAAAATATCTCATGATGTATCCGCGCATTGTTGCCAACTCTCTCTATATATGTATTGAAAAAACGATTGAATTCTGTTGGGAATCGCCCAGATGAAAGGCTTTTTATCCAATTTGACGTGATATTACTGAGATTTTCCCCATTGCACGATTATATTAAAGCCCACGTTGCTATAATATTCACACAATAAACACTTTGATCAGCTTGAAGGAGATTTTGATATGAACTCTCTCAGATAAGCAGCAATTGTCAGGACTAAAGGTTTTGCTAGTGCTTTGCAAAGAGTCTCTGATCAATAAAATGTAATAATAAACACGACAATTTATAACGCAAATTGCTTTTATGGATGTTTCTTTGATCTTTACACTTTTGTCAAATTGATTATAGAATTTTCTTAGAATTCATTACAGCAGAAATACGTAAGAAAATCTGCAAAATCTTCACAAACACCGGGTGTAAAGGATTAATAAACGGAGAGACTTGTCTGCAAGTTTATCTCGGTAGAAAAAGACATCATAAAACTTTCAACATATCATGGCAAGATTGGGCTTTTCCCGCCCTCTGCAGATGTGCTTTCGCCACCTTCTCTGCAGTGACAATTTTTGCACACCCGCAATATTCGTGGGTGGCAAATATTTTCCCCTTGTTTTCCCGCGCCGCATTCAAATCTAATAAAAAAAAGAAGCCAAAAGGGAGACACGGAAGATATGAGAGAAATGTGGGTGGATTTCCGTCCTTGGATCTCATTCACTCGGCAATATTGGATGTTTTGAGTGTGAAAATTGTGTGCCGTGATACTCACTGCAGTTGACTTCATCGCTGCCATCGGCGCACTCAGCCTTGCCCGAGCATTCCAGGGCGCCGGGAATGCAAGAACGGTCCCTGCATTGGAACTGATCCGCGCGGCATGTCACATTGAGGCATGTCGGCGCCACCTCATCGTCTCCACCGGGACAATCCTTCTCGCCGTCGCACACCCAACTCCTGTGGATGCACGTGATGCGATCGCTGCACTGGAACTCCGCCGACGTGCACGGCGACACGATGCGCACTTGGTTCTCGCAGTTCTGCAAAAGAGTAGAGAACAACTATGAGAAATGACTCCAATGCGACTTGACTTTGAGCCTTTCCCGCTGTTTCTTTTTTTTTCTATCCTCCTTTTCCCCCATAGAGTGAAAGAATGTTCTTCCTATGCAACACAGTTGCAATGGTATTTCAGACCGACGGAAAGTTTAGCATTCACGCGAAGGATGCGGAGTTAAAAGTTTTATTGCAAAATTCCCTTCCATCCAGCGGACTTTCAGTTCACAAAATTCTTCTCTCCCACTTGTCATTCCTGTCGATTTCATATTAGTTATTCATCTCACGCAATTTACCCACTCTGAGATATTTAATAATCATACATTCCCCCACTGCATTATTAGATAAATAGCTGCACATTATGGAAATCACGAAAACGCGATTGCAGAAGTGGATCAACTCACCGGAATCACAGAGTGTTTTTGGCACTTTCGAGAATGTTCATAAATTTCACGTGTTATATTTCATATGATGGTGTGCGCGAGGTTTAGTCAGTTAATTAAATTTTACCATAATTGTCACTTCATTCCCATTAATTTGGATGGCGAAATTTTGCAACAGTTATTCAAGTGGCAATGATAAATACTCGAACTCAATTTAATTCGATATATTAATTATTATGCATTACAGCATGATTTTCTAAATGATTTTACCACCAAAGATACTCCATTAAGCATTAAAAATTGATGAGAATAATGAAAAACTGCTATTTAACTTCAAATTCATACTCTTTAACGACAATATTGGTTGTCTTATCTCTCACTCTCTGTGATTATTTTCCTATATAAAAATCTATCAAGAAGTGGAAGATCTTTGAAAACACAACCCTATAATAACAAGACGCTTTGAGATTGGATTTTATATCTTATCAAATTCGCTCCATTCACATTTCAGATAACAATTTGCGTTCAAAAATTATAACTGGTGTGACATCTTATTTGAATCTCTGTCGTTAATGAAATTACAAGACAAGATCCATAAAGTTGAATCAGGAGCAATTAATCTCAAAAACTTCACTCTGATTAGCACAAAGCAATCTCCCACCATTTCCCCCAACATGATTAAATGGCCTCGGGAAATTCCTCTCACACAGCTCAACTGTGTGACAGGACCGAAGGATATCAATTGATGTGGAAGGTTTAAATGCAAATCATCAATATTGAAAGCGCCGAATTGATCATTCCAATTGCAATCCCCAATTAAGATGAATGACGATGCATTCATTCCGCTCACACACACGCGAATTTACAATTGGCGAGAGACATGACAATAAACTGGGAAAATTGCTCAAATTCCACAAATTAAATGAAATTGTCCCTCCCAACATTTCATTATTGGGGGGGGGGGACAAGATAAATTCACCCCTCATTGTCTTTCGCTGTTTGCACAAGGCGAAAATTTTATTGGCTGCGTCTCGAGTGCCATTCACTTTATGATTTTATTGGATTCACAAGCACTCCCACAAGAGTGGTTGGTTGAGATCGGAAAAATCAACTGATATGCACAGCGAGACGTGAGATTGGCAGATGGAAATTCGATTGAAATCACTGAATGTTTATTGCCGTGAAACTCACATGGGGTGATATTGCTATTCGGAATAATCTCATCTGATAATTTCAACCATCACATCAAATATTTTATTCCCGTAGGAGATAAAAATAAACTGACATAGACACGCACGTGGCAAAAACACCCACACCAAAAAATACCCAGAATTGTTTTTGGATCTTCTTGAATATTATTATTATTTTATTTATTATTTTTGCAATCAACCGAAATTCATAGGCAGAATCTCTCTCTTTGTGCAAAAACATTTCACAAAGTTGTGGGGCAACCTTTGAAGTCTCCTTTCATGCGGGGAATTCAGGGAATTTTCTCAATATTGCTAATCTCTCTAAGAAAATTATTATTACTCACACACACACCGTGCGCGCGAGAGGAAGAGCAAAGACCATAAAACTCCTCGTCAATTTTGAATTAATCCCACATTTTGGATGAGGGAATCACTGTGGAAACATTGATTTTCCCACCCAATCATCCAATTAACGTCAATTTCCCGCCGAGAAATTGTAGCGGGAGAAAGAAAAATAGTTAATAATTGAAGTACAACCGCTCGAGCGATAAAGAAAATTGTCTCAGCGCAGAGACATTGATGGAATCTTCAGCCACCACTCCATCGTCCTCTAATCGCATAAATTCAATTGATGAAGAGTGTCAGGACATCCCATAGATGTGACTCACCCTCTCGTCCGATCCGTCAGGGCAGTCACTCTCGCCATCACACCTCCACTTGGCCGTGATGCACACGTTGTCGGAACAGGTGAACTCTTTGTCGGGATGGCACGTCACATCGGGACAATTCCTCTCATCAGCATTGTTGCCACAGTCATCGTCTCGATCGCACACCCACCTCTCCTGGATGCAGCGCCCGTTGCCGCAAGTGAACTCATCCGAGCGGCAGGTCACATCTACACAAAAGGAGACACAATCGTTAGCCCGAGCCATCGGGACAGAATGAAGTGATGGTGGGAATTGGGATTGGAGTGCCAATGGAGGAAAGGAGGAAACAAGTGATGGACGAATCTCGTGGGAAATCGGTGAAAATTTCATGAAAAATTCCCTGCATGCGCCAACTTCCAATGTGAAACTATTGGAAATGTGAATTAATGTATTCAATATGCTGTAATTTCTCCAATTTGTCATGCAATCTGCTAATTACTTAGCTCAGCTTATTTGATTCAATTTGTTAATTAGGAACTTTGAGAATCACTTTATAACTCAATTTCATATCGATAAAAACTTCGATGACTAATTAAAATCGAGAGATTAAATGAAATTTAAGCTTATACTTTAGATATGAGAATATTTTACATGAAATTTAAGCCCAACGCCAAAGGCAAATTTAACACATACAATAAAGAGAAGCAAATGGAGGTGAATTATTGTGTATTTGAGTAGATCAAATGCATATTGATCTCCCAATAGTCCTGCCTAGGATTTTCCCTTTGTACACACACAGAAACACCACTTGTGACCGGGGAAAAAGCTCAATTCCACCCTCTCAAGAGAGCAGAATTTATGGATGAAAGTTTTCCCTCTTGCATTGTGAGTCCCTTAAATCTTCTCAATGGCCGAATGCCACCATAATTCCCACATCTTATCACCATCTTCTTATGTAGTCAATGTGTGGTGAAATTTTCCCTGTATTTGCACATCTTTTTGACACTCTCCTGTCCGCAAAATTTCATCCCTCAACACATACTTTCCACACCTCTCTCTCTTCATGCCAAGCCCATGATAAACTTCACCACTTTATTGGGGTGGGATTTTTCCCTTTTGCAAATGCCACACAGAAGACTATAAGTTTTTCTGTGTGGCAAAATTGCCTCTGTCCCAACGAATTAAGCATAAGACACAGTGACTTTTAATATTAGATGTCTTACTTGGGAAATGCTTTCATTTCTCATGCTTAATCTCTATGATTTTTTGGCCCAAAAGAAATATCCACAGCGTGAAGAAAAGCCATCATTTTCATTCTCTATCAACCCATTCTTGCCACAGCCAGTGTGCTTTGGGTATAATTATGCCCAGAGAGTGAGAGGAAAATTATCAAAGAAGTGCTGATGAAACATGTTAATTTCTTAATTATCTCCCATTTACACTTTCCCAGGCATCATTTGCCACCCAGTGTAAGAAGCCGCATGGAAAGTGTCCCACAGAGAATATTGGACAGGCCTTCAATTATCCACCCATCTTATTGTCTATCCCTCAAAATTGTTCAACGACACGATGAGATTCATATGGCTTTGATTGCACATTCACTCTCATGAAAGGATAATGACACTCTCTCTCTCTCTCTCTGTCACGCTGTGGTGGAAAACTTTTGTCCAAAACCATCACAAGAATATCTTCGCCACGGAGTTTGCGAGAAGTTTTCCATTTTGGAAAAGCCCATGCCAACATTATTTTGCAAACTTTATCGCGCCAATTTACACCCATGAAGACAGACTTTCGGAAATAATCTTGTCAAAAGTCTAATTCGACATTAAATTTCATACAACGCATTCTTTATGAAAATTCCGTTTGAAAAATAAAAAAGAAAGAAGAAATACGCCATATTAAGAGATAGTGAAGCATACTAATGACTTTCAAACACCCCAGAATCAGCTAGAATCATTACGACAAGTCATCCGAAATCCACTCTAGCAAACTTTACCAATTTAGTGTTATTTCGAGAAATCCTCGTTTCATACGCTCACGATTCGCATTTACATACATTCCTCCGGAGAGCACGAATTCCCCACCCTCAAAACTCCACACAAGTTTAATCGTCAAAATGACTGGAATTATTCAATTGACTGCCTGACAAAGTCCCCAATTTGTCCCTCAACTGGTGATTTTTCTGTCAATTCTCCACGCAAAACCTGGAATTGCCAAAGTTTTTCGCCCCAAATTTGGTGCTAATAATTAAATGGTGCACAGAAGAAACAAATAAAATTCCCCGTTAAATCAAACAGATTGACGAGGAGAAGGCAAAATGCGAAGGGAGAAAGATAAATGTCTCTCGAGGATTCCACACCAAAGGCAACGGACTGATGTGTTTTGGAGGGGGTGGAAAAAAGTTCAACTCGCACACGAAAATAAAGTGAGTGAAAAAAAAAGGAGAAAGCACCCCATATAATGTGAGTTTAATTGCTGAGAATAAATACGGACAATTTAAATGGCGAGTGGAGAAAAATCGAGGACTTAAAAGTGAATGGAATAAATTAGTGGTTGAATTCTCTGTAATTATTTCAACTGCCTCACGGGCATTTTTCTCACATAAACACCACATTTGTCCTATTTGTCTCACCCCCAACCCCCCAAAAAAAGGGGAGAAGCAAATGAACTTGTACACATTTTGCCAGTACGTAAAGTGAGATGTGCAAGGACAATTTGTCGGCCGAAAGATCATCATAAATACTAGGGCAGAAAACACCAAATGTGCCACTGAAGTGCAAGAAAGGGTGAGTTATATTAGGAATTCTGGAAGGTCTCCAGAATAATTCTACACACACAGCATAGCGAATGACTGTATAAATAAAATTAATATATTCAGAGCAATTTATGCGAATGGTGTATTTTAATTGTCTCCTCTTTTGGAATTCATCTCTTCACTCCTTTTCCCGCCACCGTCGCCGCCGCCGCACTTTCCATTATCGCCGAGTGTGCAGAAAAGCCGCCCGAAAGTGTGAATTTCCCGCGCGTGCTATAAATTGATTCCTGGCGATATTACAAGTGCGAATTTAATTAATGTGGATTTAATGTCAGATACACAGCCAGAGATAAGGCTAAAATATCTAATGGAGTTTAAATTAACACCAATTTAATTTTCACACCCGCATTTCGAAAGATATATACGCAAGAGAAACCGTCTCTAGATAATGATTAATCCCTTATCAGCATTCCATAGTAAAAGCTGATATTAAACTTTTGGGCACCATCAGTAGATTCCATCGAATTTCTGTCAAAAAAAACAATCATACAATATTTATCGGGAAAAAATTCATAAAGTTTTATGTTACAAGTAATTGTTTATAACATAACGTCATAAACCACTTGAAATCTTTTGTATAAATACAACAGAAATACTTGGATTTTCCTCAGTTCAATAGTTCTTGTTGAAAGTGTGAATAAAAAAAAAGATGTTGTCTGTAAGTCGGATTTGTCTTGGTTTATTGCTTATGCAATTCGCCGCTGTGAAGACAGAAGAACATCCGAAACCAATCATTGTTCAACGAAATTCTGTGGCTCTGCCTCAAGTTGCACAGACAGGACAAGTCTCAATTTCTCCAGCCACGATTGACACTTTCCAGAACTGTAGTGGACGCTATGATACTTATTGCTACGATTGCCAACACATTGTGGTAAGATGAGGAATGTCATTTGAAGGAGATCTTCAAATGAACTCTTCAAATTAACTCAATTTGCTTATCTCTCCCTAACAGATGTGCGGCGGCGAGGAAGTGCCTTTTTACCAAGGAGTTTGCACTCCTTCAACTCCTTATTGCGATGAACAACTCAATCGATGCGTTCAACATTTGCCGTTTCCCGAAATGGAACAATCGTGCAATCTTCAACCAAGTCAACCGTGCACAAGCAGAGGATACTTCCCGGACGTCAACGACGCGAAGGTCTACTATTACTGCGATTATCCGGGAAGTTCTTACATGTCAAAGTACGAGTGTCCTCAAGACTACATCTTCGACACAATCAACCACAATTGCATGCGCGTGATTCCCTTCGATTGCACTGGGAAAGACAACCAATTCGTCACGCATCCAATTAATCCTGCTTATTATGCCTATTGCAAAGTCGAAGGAGCCACAAGAGAAATCGTCCCTTATCGTTGCCGAGATGATCAGAACTTCGCATTCAACACTATTACAAATAGCTGCGAATATCAGTGCAAGAAGGAAGGTGTTTTCGTAGATCGTGAGAGTTGTGAAACCTTCTATGAATGCTACAAAACCGGAACCTCACTTTCTTACACCCGCAAACGATGTGGAATGTATGAATACTTCTCGAAGGAACTGGGCGCATGTGATTTTATGACGACGTCATGTATTCCAGAGGTTGGTTGGATGTAAACTTATCAGAACTTGATGACAACAACACAGGAATATTGAAAGTTGGCGCATTTCTCAATAGAATGCAATGTAGAAATTAGACTGGCAATAAAGCTTTTTCAGCTCAAATTAAAGAATATTAGTTATGTGGATAAATCCAGTTTCTTTGCCTTGAAATCTAGTTATTTCAGGACAATTTATGACTCGGATATAAATATTTTTGAAGAATGAATCAATTGATCAGCTTATTATGATGATTGTGTATAAGATATGAAGTATTTGATTATAATTGTTGTTTGCAAAGTCTTCAAACTTGCGATAGCTTTGTTTTGAAGTCCAAGTTCAGCATGTTACCATGAAGAAGACACGCGCCTTTTCCACGAAATTCATACCATCAAATTTTAGTGGCACGAAACTGCACGTTTATGAATGAATTCATACTATCTTAATCGATTTATTGCCCTTATTCTTCCTCATGATTCTTTACGGTCCACTCTCTATTCACCCTTCAGTCTCTTATATGATTATCAAAAATTTTTGTTACTATTCGATTAAAGTCATTGTGTGATTATCTGAAAATGTTTTAATGATGCTTATCAAAATTGATTCACGAATAAAAGACCCATAAACAAACCAAGTTCTTATAAATACGGTCCACATCTTTCGACACGGCGCAGTTGAGAAATTCTATCAGTGAAAAGTGGAAGTAAAATGATCGTCAACAATTTGATTTTGGCTGTTTTGCTCTTCGCAATGGCAAATGCAGTCATTGTGGAGAATGCAAAAAGTGCACCTGCTCAGCAACACGCAAAAGCACCTCTCAATGCTCAACCATTGGCCACCAAAGATGATGAAGCGCC